GACGGTGTGACGTACAGAGGGAGAAAAGTTCTGTCTCTGGGCAGGGCTGCCAACTTCGACTACAGAGGGGCACTCGCATGCCTTTAACAGCTGTGTGGCAAGGGAAGAATCCGGGGGGGGGGTGCAGCTTTTCCCTGGACTGTGGCACAACTTTGGGGAAACTGGCCCTTGTTGAGCCTTCCTCCATCACCCTACTGTTAAAGGGCCCGGAAACCCAGTGCTGATTCTAGGTTACTTCATTTGCCCTTTTTCCATTGGGCTCAGTCCGCAGGAGCACCTAGAGCAGGGTACCTGTGGGCCCTTATGGGCCTTCCTTGGTGCCCACAGAGTCCGCTCTCTCCTGCACCCATGATCCCCACCCCACAGAAATCAGGCTTGGAAGAAGCACTGCAGCCAACAGGACAGGCTGCGGTGTGTGGCCGGCTGTGTAAAGCCCACTGAAATTTCCCCAGTTTGCGTGCCCATGCGCCTGGAAAGCTTGGCGACCCCTGGCCAAGAGGGCGAGGCTGAGGCGAGTGGGAAAAAAGCCGCCGTACCTTCTCCTCACAGCTCTCTTGCTTGGGCGAACAGGCCCCGACAGCAAGGAGGAGAGGCAGCCAAGGGGGCAGGGGTCTCTAGGGTTGGCAGTTGTGCCCACTTCCCACCTCAGATGAGGCATGGCAGGAACCCAATTGTGCCAACCCTCAGTACTGGACCTGAGCCGCTTTGGAGCCTGAGAGAAAAGAAAAGAGGGAGGGAGGGAGGCGGTAAGCCTGAGCTCAGGTTCTCATTATGCGGTGGCAGTTATCTAACGTTCCTGTGTTTGTTAACGCTGTTCCAGGGACGAGGAGGACGATGGCGGAGAGGGAAAGTGACTCAGCAGAGGCATCAGCAGCCCCTGAGAAGATTTGAGCTGGAGCCAAGCAGCCGCTCCCCCACCCCGCTGCACGGCCTCCCCTCCCCCACCTCCCCCTTTAACCAAGCATGCTATTTTTTAATAATAATAAAAAAGAGAGCTCTGTATCTGGCCCGGCTACCCAGGGACAGACGACGTGTGTTTCTGAAGGGAGAAAGGGGGAGGGGGCGGCTCGTTCCGGCAGGCACCTTGCTGGTTTTTTTCCAAGGACACATCCTTTTCGCCTTCTGTCGAGCAAAGGGTCGCCTCTGCCGCGATGCATGAGGAGAAAGCGGTATGGCTGCTCGCAAACACACACAAAGCTTGGGCCCCCTTTGCTGCTGTGGCCCCCCCGTTGCGTCGCCCGAGGCCTCTTTTCTTTAAGAGCAATTGCACTTGCGCTTTCTGGTTTTTTGCACATTTATTGCGCTTCCCCCTCGTGCGCCCCCCGTTACTTCGCTACCAGCACTTTCTATGGGTCTGAGGAGAGGAGGCCCCTGCGGTTTGCAATTGCCTGGCTCCCCGACATTCCCCCTCCTTTCATTGTCATGTTGTTAGGCCTCTGCCTTGATCTCTCTGCTCCCAGGGCAGCCACATCCGGCAAGGAACTGGAGTGGAGAAAGGTATTCAAGATGGCCGCCACACAAGGCCTGACCCTTAGAGAGGACCTTAAGATGGGGGCACTAATCTAGGAATACCTTTGAGGGGTGAATATCTGATATATATCTGGATATATGAACTGTGACAATACAGAGGCCTGCCCTGGCAGGATTCCGCCATTTAATTGTCTTGACAGGATTTCCCTCAAGGGTGTCCCCCTGACAGAAGGTTTTGCTCAAGGGATCTTGCAAAAGGAAGATGCCGCAGAGCAGAAATTCGATTGGTGCAGGGGGCCTGGATCCAGACGTTGCTCCTTTTGCTGTGTGTCCCCAAACTTTGTTACTGTTCTGCCCTTCCTGGCGTCTTGTCGAATTCGCTTCCCGATCTTTGCCCCCGGCACATATCAGTTCCTCCCACGATGCCTTCATGCCTTTCCCCCTCCTCACGTTTCCATTTCCTACATCCATCGCCACCCAGTCAGGCCATTTTGGCTCTTCGGGGAATACTGTGCCCTCCCCTCTCCTCAGACCCCGGGGCTGGTCCCAGGGACCAGCTGCCCACCATCACAATAATAGAATAGAGTTTGTTCATAAATAAATAATAAAAAAAGATTGGATTTCACCAGCTCTGGTTGAAGCGAGTCATTCTTGTGATGAAAGGAGATTCAGATGTGTGGAAAAGCAACCATGGAACAGATAACACTTTGCGTGGACAATGGGGTTCCATTTATTTCGTTGCAGAAATCACTTGTGGCGTGCGCATGCTGCCCCATATCCTTAAAGTTTGTGCTTTAAATAAATGTATACCAGTAAGACACAAAACCAAAAGCGACACAGACACAACACAGTCAACTCATTGCAATCCCAAGCTTAAAACACAGATTTAATAATTGAGAGGCTCAGACTAGGTAAGTTGGCGGTGGAGAACATTTTTGGCTTTGCAGGTCCGATCTGTAGGTTCTCCACCTCAGTGGGCCAATTTTGACAGGTGGGCTGTTCCCCCTACCTGTCAGAGCTGATTGTGCAGCAACTCCCAAGCACCCAACAGCCTGCCCGATGTTTGGGAACTGCAGCATGAGGGCTTTGCCAATCAATCCTACGCTTGGCAAAGCACGGGGTTTGCAAACCTGTCTTCTAGTCGTGCCTCTGCTTGCCTCAAACCTGACATCACCTATGAGGTCAGGTGTGGGGCAGGTAAGTGGCTGGAGGTGAAACAACCTTGTAGCTCTGAGACCTGCGTTGGATCATATGCAGCTTACAGGCTGGAACTTCTCTACCCCTGATGCAAGTTAATCAAATGCCTTGGTGAGGAGGAAGGTCTTTGCCTTGCATCCTAAGGAAGACGCCAGGTGAATCTCCCGGCAAAGACAGTTCTGTAATGGGAATGCCGGGACTGAAATGGCCCTTTCTGCTTATTTGGTAGAGGAACCCAGAGCAGCAGCTGTGAATAGGATCTTAGGGTTTTGATAGAGACATGGAAGAAGGCGTATGTGTCAGGTAACCTGGCCCCAAGCCACCCAGGGACTTTAAAAGGTAAAAAACCAGCACTTTAAACTGAGCCCAGGTGAAGTTATTGGAAGGCGAGGTGGGCAGGCAGGCAGGCACATGCTTGCTTTATTGAGCATTCCTCCTATTTTGTTTGCAGGGATATTAGACAATGTTGGCTTATTTAATGAACGCTCATTCGTCTGCAGGGAGGTTAGATTGTAATCGCTTTTCCTGAATTTGTCGGTATGTTATTGAATCCCACTGCAAAATAGAGACAGCCTGGAAGCATCCGAAGACTTTTCACTTCAAATGCCTCCAATCTCCCACATTAATCCCTTTCCAAATGAGTTTGGATTTTTAAAGGGGGAAGGCAGGAGGTATATTGTACAGTGGTACCTCTGGTTATGAATTTAATTCGTTCTGGAGGTCCGTTCTTAAGCTGAAACCGTTCTTATCCTGAGGCACGCTTTCGCTAATGGGGCCTCCAGCAGGTGATTTCTGTTCCCATCCTGGGACAAAGTTCGCAACCAGGAGCAGCTACTTCTGGTTTAGCGAAGTTCGTAACCTGAGGTGTTCATAACCTGAAGCGTTCTACACAGTAATTGCATAGTTGCTAAGTTGCGTCTGATCCAGATACCTTTTCTGAGAAGTGTGTCTCTTGCCAGGAATGCAAAGGGAATGCAGTTATGTGGTAGAGCATATATACTCAACGTACAGATAAAATCACCAGCCTCTGCAGTTAAAAAGATCTCAGGAGGGCCAAGTAATTAGGCCTAGCTGGGGGGAGACACAGGTTAAAATCCTTGCTCAACAATTGTGTTGCACACTGGAGCCTAATCTCCCTCACAGGATTGTTGTGAGAATAACATGGTGGAGGTTAGGAACTGCACACTGTCGAGTTTGGAGGGAAAGGAGGATGTACATGCAGCAATAAACAAATCCATACAAACAAGTTTATTAATAGTCCACTGACATTCAAACTCCAAAAACAAATGTAAACAGAAGCCCACAAACAGTGCACTTTTCATTATTAAAACTTTAAACAGGATTAGGACAAAATTAAAACAAGTACATTTTGTCAATGTAAAAGCTGTAATAACAATACCTCTGCCTGAGAGCCAGGAGACTTATTGCTGGACAACATTGGCCAATGGTCTGAGTTGGTATAAGTCTTCTTCACTGACTTGCCAAAATGTAGTCTTAGTTTATTATTTTTATTTTATGTATATATTTAAACCGTCCATTTCTCCCTCATATTTTAACTATAGTCAGTAAATGGTCTAGTTCTCCCTCATATCTAACTTTAGTCTATCTCTTCCTCTTATTGGTATCAGAACCTTCATTCAAGTAGCTTAACATGGCTGTGTCTTCCTTCACCCCATTATGAGGTACCTTATTTCATCCCGTGAGCTAGTTTAGGCTGGAAGATAGTAAATTGCCCCACATCTCCCATGCTGGCTCTCTTGGGCCAACAGGTACTCAAAAGTGGCGCTGAGACCCTTGTACCTTATGTGCAGCTGCAGAATAGTTTTCTGGCACCATCCTGTGGCAACTTATCAAATTACACTTTAAAGTCATATACGGCACACTGACGCTGAAGCGCAAGCAGCTGCTGCGTTCCACTACGTACCACTTCATATGCAGGCCGAAATGGTATCGGTACCTTCCTGATGGGACGCGGGTGGCGCTGTGGGTTAAACCACAGAGCCTAGGACTTGCCAATCAGAAGGTCGGCGGTTCGAATCCCCACGACGGGGTGAGCTCCCGTTGCTCGGTCCCTGCTCCTGCCAACCTAGCAGTTCGAAAGCACATCAAAGTGCAAGTAGATAAATAAGTACTGCTCTGGCGGGAAGGTAAACGGCGTTTCCGTGCGCTGCTGTGGTTCGCCAGAAGTGGCTTCGTCATGCTGGCCACATGACCCAGAAGCTGTACGCCGGCTCCCTTGGCCAATAAAACGAGATGAGCGCCGCAACCCCAGAGTCGGTCATGACTGGACCTAATGGTCAGGGGTCCCTTTACCTTTACCTTTTTACCTTCCTGATGCTGCTGGATGACAATTCCCACCAGTCCCAGCTGCTGTAATGGCCAAGGATGATGGGATTTGTAGTCAAGCAGCATCTGGTGGGCACACAAATGCTGCCCACCCTGCATTGCCAAGTCCAGCCAACCTCATCATGAGTGAATGTTGCAAGCAAATCGCCAGGCACTCGGGCCACTTGCAAAGGGTGACAGATTGTGGTATTTCGCTGGAAAAACCAACCAACACACCAGTTGTTGACAAATGTATGCACTGCCACATGGAATTAAATCCCATGGAGCTCAGTGGAAGCAAAGTAAATGTGTAGGATACAGCTGCATGAAACTCACCCCACACAACCCAAAATCTTAAAGCTCAGAGGTTGCGCTTTTCATCAAGGACTTGGGACAGGAATGGCGTGCTCTCTGCTGCCTCCCTTCAGCCAGGTCCTGCAACTGCAGCCTCTTTCCCTGCTATTTGCTGGTCACTGCTGGCCAGGTTGTGTTACTGCAGCCTCTTTCCTTGCTCTCTGCTGCCCCCTCTTGGCCAGGTACTGCAACTGTAGCCTGTCCCTTGTTCTCTGCTGTGCTCCCTGTTATCCAAGTTGTGTAACTTGCCCCTTTTCTCTGCTCTCTGCTGCCTACTATTGTCCAGGCTGTGTAACAGCAGGGCTTAATCCCTGTTTCCTTCTGCTGCCTCTTGGCAACCTGGTCAAGAGGGGGCAGCAGAGAACAGGCTGCCATTACAGAACCTGGGCAAAAGGGGTCAGTAGAGAGTAGGGTAGGAGGCTGCAGTCACATGATTTCAGCCTCTTCCCTTGCTCTTATGTATCAGATTCCCACCATACGCAGCAAAATAGTTGCAAATGCACCTGTGAACTGTGGCATCCGTATATGCCCGGTTCCCATCACCCCAGCCCCTGACCTTCTTCACCTGGCTAGAAGTTATTTTTGTGAGCAGAAAATTTGCCAAGGTACCAAACAGCAGTTATGAGGAGATGTGGAATAACTGATGCAAGGGCAAGAGGAAGGTGCCATCCTTTACTTCCATGTTGTCAGTCCTCTTAGGGGGCAGGGATAAAGATCGTCTTCTTCTGGGGCTTCCTGCACCGCCGCACGGTGACAGTGACAGGAGCCGGGTCCAGAGGCATTCCTGCCACAGAAGGCATTGTGCCAAACTGGAAGAAGCAAAGGGGAAGAGCTTGTTACAGGGAGGCAGTGAAATGCAAAACAACACGCTAAAAATCTGCTAAAGATTGAGGTTGAATCCTGACAAGACAGAAGTACTGTTTTTGGGGGACAGGAGGCGGGCAGGTGTGGGGGACTCCCTGGCCCTGAATGGGGTAACGGTGCCCCTGAAGGACAAGGTGCACAGCCTGGGAGTCATTCTGGACTCACAGCTGTCCATGGAGGCACAGGTCAAATCCGTGTCCAGGGCAGCTGTTTATCAGCTCCATCTGGTACGCAGGCTGAGAACCTACCTGCCTGCGGACTGTCTCGCCAAAGTGGTGGGTGCTCTGGTTATCTCTTGCTTGGACTACTGCAATGCACTCTACGTGGGGCTACCTTTGAAGGTGACCCGGAAACTACAACTAATCCAGAATGCGGCAGCTACACTGGTGATTGGGAGCGGCCGCCAAGACCATATAACACCGGTCTTGAAAGACCTACACTGGCTCCCAATATGTTTCCGAGCACAATTCAAAGTGTTGGTGCTGACCTTTAAAGCCCTAAACGGCCTTGGTCCAGTATACAGGGAACCAGGCAGAGGGCCTTCTCGGTAGTGGCTCCTGCCCTGTGGAACGCCCTCCCAGCAGATGTCAAAGCAATAAACAACTATTTTACTTTTAAAAGTCATCTGAAGGCAGCCCTCTTTAGGGAAGCTTTTAATGTTTGATGCTGTACTGTTTTTAATATTCAGTTGGAAGCCGCCCAGAGTGGCTGGGGAAACCCAGCCAGATGGGCGGGGTATAAATAATAAATTATTATTATTATTATTATATTATACCTGAAGGAGTGTCTCTACCTCCATCGTTCTGCCTGGACACTGATGTACAGTGCTGAGGGCCTTCTGGCGGTTCCCTCACTGCGAGAAGCCAAGTTACAGGGAACCAGGCAGAGGGCCTTTTCGGTAGAGGTGCCCACCCTGTGGAACGCCCTCCCACCAGGTGTCAAAGAGAAAAATAACTACCACACTTTTAGAAGACATCTAAAGGCAGCCCTGTTTAGGGAAGCTTTTAATGTTTAATAGGTTATTGTATTTTACTGTTTTGTTGGAAGCTGCCCAGAGTGGGACACAGCCAGATGGGCGGGGTATAAATAAATTATTATTATTATTATTATTATTATTATTATTATTAGTAGTAGTAGTAGTAGTATGTTGCAGTGGTTAGCATCCCATCTTGCAAGGGTGTTTTCTACATCAAAAGTGGACTTGCTTGCATCTTGAAATGTGACCATGCATTTTATGTTTGGCAAAGCCAATTTCCCTCAGAGGCAGTGAGGTGTACTGGTTAGAGTGTTGGATTAGGACTGGGGAAGCCAGGTCCAGCTGTGAAACTCACCAGGAGACTTAGAGCCATTCCATTACCTCTCAGCTTAACCAAACTTGTTGTGAGGGTAAAATATGGAGATGGTGGAGTGGGGAAGAGGACTATGATTTGGGTCCAGGCTAAGTTACTTAGTTGCATTTAGTTCCAATTGAAACCAATGTGAAAAAACTACCGGTAGTCGTGACTAGTTTCAAAAGCAGCAAAGTTCAGCTAAGTTCTTAGATCCAACTCCACACATGCCACCTTGAACTTTTGGGAACAAAGGCAGGATAAAAACATTATATATATATATAAAATCTCCTGGAGATGCGTGAACGTTGGTGCTTCATTAGTTTGGGGTTAGAGTAAAAGGGTTGCTGGGGTAGTTAGCTTCAATCCTGCCATTTTATAGGTGACTGCTGAAATAGTCGCAACAATAGTCAGCCCACAACTTATGCGGCGGTTACATTTTGGGGATTGCATCTACTGTAAATACGTTGGAGCAGGGCTGGAGGGCTTCTTGAGCAAATCATTGTAGTTCAGATTCGACTGCAAAGAAGTGAATCCACGTACTTCTAATATTTATGTATTTCTAATATGTACTTCTAATATTTATTTATTTATTTACAGGATTCCCCTAACTACAGTTAAAAACGTGGATTGGCTTAGGGCTTTGCAAAACAGAGTGCCAAAGGTTAAAATTGGCATATACGGTACTTTGTTGACAGTGCTTTAGTCATCAAAAGCCTGCAGGTCTCTCTCTCTCTCTCTCTCTCTCTCTCTCTCTCTCTCTCTCTAAAAGCACTTGTTACCTCCTGCATATTTAATTTTTTTAAAAAATCAAAATGCTACAAATATGAACAATTCTTCAATTTATTCTCTATTTCATTTTAGCTCTGATGTGCCTTTTTGCGGTTATCAATGGTTCTGACATTTCTACCAGGGTCAGCCTCCCTGAATTGGGCTTTGGGTGAAAGTGCAACGGGTGTGCCTTTTTACATTCTTTGGATGCCCAACTCTATGGTACATGCACCTGCCTCCCCACCAGGAGGACTGTGCTCACCTTATAGGGTGCACTCCACTTCCCAGCACCTGCCACGTTGAGAGACCTCACGCGGAGCAAGTACGTAGTGCCAGGAGTCAGATTCTCCAGGTGCTCTTCTGTCTGTGAGCAAAACCAATGGATGTTCTTGCCTTGACCATCCAGCCTGGCCTCCTGCAGTTGCAGCTCGTAGAAGGAAATCAATTCCCCGTTGCGTGGGCCTGACCAAGAAACCTATGGAGGAGAGAAAATGGGCATCATGCAGAAAGCCAGGAGACGAGCTCTTTCACTTGATCCCAACATCTTCAGGGAAGTGGGTGCTAAAGGGGTCCTTTCACTGGTGCAGGGAGGAACCGTGGTGGCTGGTGCCCATTGGGATTTATGGGACAGAAAACAAGGAGACCAGTAGTAAGTGGAGCCAGAGCAAACCCAACTGATTCTAGTTTTGTCCCCATCCTCTACCCTGTTGAGTTCTGCAGGAAGTAAGGAGGAGGAAGCTGGCATTCAGGGCCACCCCCGGGGCTGGTTGTAAGGAAGATGGTGGACAGGTGGTGGCTGGTTGGAGACAGATGGAGGTTGGCTGGGCAATGATCTCTTTACCCTAATGTACCAGCCTCCTAACCAGATCAAACCTATCCATTCTTAAGGAAATCAGCCCTGAGTGCTCATTGGAAGGACAGATCATGAAACTGAGGCTGCAATACTTTGGCCACCTCATAAGAAGAGAAGACTCCCTGGAAAAGACCCTGATGTTGGGAAAGATGGAGGGCACAAGGAGAAGGGGACGACAGAGGACGAGATGGTTGGACAGTGTTCTCGAAGCTACAAACATGAGTCTGACCAAACTGTGGGAGGCAGTGGAAGACAGGAGTGCCTGGCGTGCTCTGGTCCATGGGGTCACGAAGAGTCGGACATGACTAAACGACTAAACAACAACAACCAGCCTCCACTGCCCTTAAGAGACATACACCAAGAGGTCGCCTTAGTCTTCTCTGATATAGCAGAAAATACTGGGGGTGCTTCCAGGCAGCCTGTCTATTGAACATTCACCCTCACTTGTTTGTAGGGAGGTTACCGAGTGCTGCTCCACACTTTCCAGTGCATTTCCCCAACATTTCTCTTAGCACAAGATGTCCAGTCCCTCCGGGAAGAGAGTTGGTTGCACAACACCTCCCAATCAACTATAACTGCGCAACCTGAATTTGGCAGTGTGTGGCTGAATGCTGGACCCTGCAGCCAAGTGTTAGTTCTTGGCTTTAAAAAAGAGGTAAAGGTAAAGGACCCCAGGACAGTTAAGTCCAGTCAAAGGAGATTATGGGGTTGTGGTGCTCATCTCGCTTTCAGGCCAAGGGAGCCAGCGTTTGTCCACAGACAGCTTTCTGGGTCATGTGGCCAGCATGACTAAACCGCTTTTGGTAAAACGGAACAGAGTGATAGAAATCAGAGCGCGGAAATGCCATTTACCTTCCTGCTGCAGTGGTACCTATTTATCTACTTGCACTGGTGTGCTTTCAAACTGCTAGGTTGGCAGAAGTTGGGACAGAGCAACAGGAGCTCACCCCGTTCTTGGGATTTGAACTGCTGACCTTCCGATTAGCAAGCCCAGGAGGCTCGGTGGTTTAGACCACAGCGCCACCCACGTGGTAAGTTCCTGGCTTACCACTCATGGTTTGTCTTGGGGGCAGACAAACTACAAGCCTGGTTTTGGATGTCATGTTAAGCCAAAACATAGTTTAGCTCCTGGTAGTGAAGCAGCAGCAGCAGGGAGAGGAATGAAGCAGCTGTGATTTTTGCTATGAATACCAATGGCACACTTGTTCCTTCTTGTACAGTCATGGTTCGGCTCAGCATTATGTGCAAACCATGCCACTGTGCCCAATACGAGCTATATTCCAAACACAGAAATTTCCAGGCCCTTGAAACGGAAGACTATTGCTGTGCACTTGGAGGGCAGTTGGCCTCGATGACCCACTGGGATTCCTTGTGTGATGTTTTTGCTCTTAAGGTTTCTGTGAGCAGAGCTGTCAAGGGTGGCTTATCTTGAGGCAACATGTCTTAAGGCCTGAAAGAAGACTATTTATAGCTGGTGACAGTCAGGTGATGTGCTTCGATGGGAGTTAAGATGGCTCAGAAAAAGGATGAGGAGCGATGACTAAGCCTTATTGTCCCCGACCCCATTAAGCAGGGAGAGGGGTTAAAAGAGAAGGAACCTGCAGGTGTTTTTGTGACTGATGGAGAATCAATGGACAAAAGGATACAGAGGGCTGAATTGCTCTCTGTAAAAGGCTCTGGCAGTTCCATTAGAATTCTGATGGGGAGCATTACACCTGGGACCTCTGTATTTTCCACCTATGCTCAACCTGTGTACATGCGTAAATCAGGGATGGGGAATGTGTGGCCTCTACAGAAGTTCTTGGACTCCATATCCCATCAGCTCCAGCCAGCATGGACAATGGCCAGGGATGATGAGAGTTGTAGTTTAGTAGCATGTGGAAGGTAACAGGTTCCCCATCCCTGATATAAATGGCCTGCTATTGTGATGATTTTATTATGATGCTGCCTATTATGATGCTTTTTACGATGTTTTAATTATTATGCTCCATAAAATGTGTTCTTAATGTTGTACACCACCCTGGGACCCTTTGATAAAAGGCAGTATATAAATCGAAATAGCAGCAGCAGCAGCAGCAGCAACAACAACAACCCATATGATACAAGGCTCCAGTAACTCCCCTCAAAGCTTATTTCACAGATACTTAGACAAGCACTGGAGCCCCCGAAATCTCTCACGTCTCATAGGGTTGGGGTGCATGTAACAATACGGGTTCCTCAGAGGTGCACTAAATGTGATCTATCTAGCTCCAATATTGCACCCCCATTTACCCAGTGGGGTAGTTGAAGAGGAGTTCAGCTTTTGGCTCAAAGAGAGACCCGGCTCTCCAGTCACAATAACTTAGCAATGCAGAGGAGGCCATTTTGTGTCAGGAGGCCCCACCTGAGCGCTGGTGCTGCTGACGGTGTGCTCGCGGATGAAGGGCTGTGGCGGCAGTTCCACACACACAGGAGACTCCGAGCCGCTGTCGGAGAGGCTGGTCTCCCCGTCGCTCATGTCCAGGTCGACAGGGACGCTGGGGCTGCTGCTGCGTCGAGGGCGGCTTGGCGGGGGCCTGCGAGCGGCTTTCTTCGGAACTGACAGCCCGGCCAGCAAGTCGTCCAAGGTGTGAGGTAAACTGCAGGCTGAGTAGAGGATGTGTTTGGGGGTCTCGATGATGCTGCCCAGGCCAGAGCTGGAGGTGTCGCTGCTTTCACTGGGAAGGCTTGAGTGATTTCTGTAGAGCTGAAACTAAATTAAAAGAAGAATACACCCAAACAACCCCTGAGTGAAACCTGCTTGCAGAACTTGTTCATGTTCTCCTAAGCCAGAGGTGGGGAACTTGATGCCCTCCAGAGGTTGATGCACTACAATTTCCAACACCCCTGACCATTGGGCATGCTGGCTGCAGCTGATAGGACATGGAGTCCATCAACATCTGGAGGACTGCAGGTTCCCCATTCGTCTCCTCACACTCCAACATTTTCCCATTTATTGAAAGGATGTGTATATTGTCAGATGACTGACAATACTTTAACAAGCATCAATAGAACCTAGGAAGGTCTTCATTTTCACTACTACTTTGTAGCATCTAAAAGAAGAAAACATGGTCCTAATGTTGGTGGACTTCAGTTACCATCAGGGGAACTTTTTTCATTTTCCTTTGGCAGTCTCATGCCAGCATAAGTTGGAGCCAGGGCAATGGATACGACTCCTGCCTTTGTACAATAGCCTACAGCCACACAAAATCCAGATGTTTCCGCGCACAGTTCCTCCTACCCCATGCATCCTCTGAGGCATCACCACAGATCAAAGACACATCCCAGCAGGTAAAAGCACTTGGGGGGGGGGCATGGAGCAGGTCCAGTTATGGGTGTGGCCTGGGGACAGTTCTGAGAGCAAAACAGAGATGCGGGGGGGGGGGGACATATTCACTCCCTGGCCTAAGGTTCCCTACTCCTCATTTATATGATCAAAGTATCTCCTTAGGCTGCACCCTTCCCTCTTGAATTAGCTTTTTTGGGAGTTCCTTATGAATTAGCTTTGATTATAAGAGCTGTAGATTGATTATCCAGGGACGGGGGTGGGGGGTGGGTGGGCCTCAGTCCCCCAGTCGCAGAGGGGTCCTAGCACCGTCTACTCCCTTATTCTGGGATGGTTCCCTGTTGATGGCCCACATTAGCGTTTTTTTAAAAAAGCATTTTAGAGAAATACCTCACCTACCATTTCCAAGCAGGGGAGAGGTCATGCCCTTGGGAAGGAGAGACTTGACGAGGCTTCTCTGTGGCAGATATGATGAGTGGCGATGAATGACTTGCACCTTTAAGGCTGCATCTGTTCACAGGAATGGAGGGGGGGGTTGAGTGCATCAGGATTAAATAGGCCCACACATCTGTTGAGCCGAAAAGTTCGGAAAGCTTCCAGCTGCAAGGAGCAGAACCCTTTCCACATCAAAATGTGTCTGCCCAGGAACCAACTTGTGCATGCGGCAAAGGGAGGCTTAGCCAGGGGCAGACTTTGGGCTTTTGAATTTCAGGGGTGCCCTGCACAACACCAAAATTTGGCGCTCTCCGCCCCAGCCTCTTGTCATTGTTGCGGTGCCCTCTGAACTCAATGCCCAGTGTGGGCGAACTAGTTGTGCTCCCCCCAAATCCATCTCTGTGGTGGCTAGCCCCTTGCACTTCCTTAGCAAGACTTCCACCCAGTCTCCCTTGCTGTTACCTAGGCAGAGAACTCCCTTTGCTAACTTTCCAGGAAAACAAAACAAAACAAAACATAGCTTGGTTGGATAGGGTTCTGTTTTGTTTGTTTGCTTTCAGAAAAACGCAGGAAGAGAAGCCATTTCCCCAGCTTCAGAAGAGGAGGAACAGAGCTGTTTACCTTCACAGAACAGACAGGTTATGCACTTGGCTTCACTCCTGAGCTGGGGGTTCTGCTCCCAGATCCAGCCAAAAACCCCAACCAGGAGCAGGGAAGCCTTTTCAACCCATAGGCTTTGTTCCTTTCTAGGTAACTTTCCAGGGACCACATGCCAGAGGTAAAACTGAGCAGAGCAACCAATGTGACTTTCACCTCTCACCTCTACATACACTCACATGCACTCCTTTCTAGCCTGTATCCCAGGGGTTGTCAACCTGGTCCCTACTGCCCACTAGTGGGCATTTCAGGATTCTAGGTTGGTGGTAGTGGGTTCTACGGCACAAGCTGAATCCTCCTTCCATCGAGCACTAGTGGGAGGTAAGGAAATTTTACCATCAAGAAAGATGCATCAGTGGGTGGTAGGTATAAAGAGGTTGACTACCCCTGCTGTATCCAGACAAGCAAGAGGCATTGTCTGAGGTCAAAGACACATTCCAGCCAGGCAAAAACATTCAAGGAGGGTGTGAAGCAGAAGGGTCAGAAAGGAGGTGTGAGCTGGGGAGAGTTCTGAAGGCCAGAAAGAGAAGTCTGGAGGGACACATCTGGCCCAAGACCCTGAGGCTTCCCAACCCTGCCCTCGACTTTCCCCAAACTGCTGAAGTCTCCTCCCTAGCTCCACGCACACTCAGTTTCTGTTTTGCATCCTCAATCCCTTCCCTGAACATGTCTGTGGTGCCGCCGCCACCCCTTCCATCAGTTTGCTCCCTAAAAGGACACCTTTTCCATGAGGACTCTGGCTCAGTACTCATTCCCAGATGCAATCAAGCTTAAAACACACACACACAAATCTAAACTTTTGTGGCTTTGCAGATGTTGCAGGACTCTGATTCTCTGATTCTCAGCCACAGGCAGAGTGGCCTGTGGTCAGGGATGAGGGGAATTATAGTCCAACAATTTCCCTCATCTATAGGATTGGAATGTAAATGTGTTTGCTGACATTTCATTTTTATCCTATCTCCCTTGCGCTGTCGTTTTCCTCATCACTGATTTTTCATTGTAAGCTTCTGCCTGTGTTTTGTTTTTGAAAGTCTGTAAAGTGGTATGTACGTGAATGGTATTACTACTACTACTACTACTACAGTGGTACCTCAGGTTAAGTACTTAATTCGTTCCGGAGGTCCGTTCTTAACCTGAAACTGTTCTTAACCTGAATCACCACTTTAGCTAATGGGGCCTGCTGCTGTCGCTGCGCCGCCGCTACACAATTTCTGTTCTCATCCTTAAGCAAAATTCTTAACCTGAGGTAATATTTCTGGGTTAGTGGAGTCTGTAACCTGAAGCGTATGTAACCTGAAGCGTCTGTAACCCGAGGTACCACTGTATTACTATTACTAAAAGGATGCCTGTATAGAAATTACTGACACTGTCCTGGTCCTTCAAAACAAAGATGGGGGCCGCCCTACATGGAATCATTACAGAGGTTTCTAATTTTCTAGGAGCAGGTCATGGTTCCTTATGTCATGCCCTGTACTTGGGCATTATATAAAACTCCAAGGTCCAGAGAAAGCCACTGCCAGGCAAACAAGCTAGAAGGCTGGGTACCCACCCTATTGCCACTTTCCCTCACTCCCCTCGCAGCCACCCCTTGTGTTTCAGCCCTGTTGCTGTCCAGACTAGCTCTGCCTCTGCCTCCAGACCCATGGAGCTGACTTACCGCCCACAGGATGCCCCGGCACTAGCATATCGGAGGCTATGAGTCTGAAGGCCTGTCCCAGAAAGGCCACTGTTTGCCTAGTCCTCATTATGCCACAGTGCTACCCCTTCCATTGTGACCAGGCACACTCAGTGTAGGGCAGGCCTAGGGCTAGGCCCCAGGGCCCTTTTACATGAACGTAGCTGCTGACTGGCTCTGTGCAGTAATTGTATTAATGAAAAAATGAACAAACATGAACACAGGCGTATACCAGCTGATATGTTTCTATCATTACAAACACAGGACTGGAGCTGTTTTTTGTGGCAAGGCTCACCACTGGTACAGAGTTCCAGCATCTTTTTTGTACCAACAGTACTTTTATCAATATATGAGTACTAGCACCTCTTTTGTTTTATTTTTAACCAAAAATACCAGTGCTTAGGACAATTGTGTGCTTTGGTGTTGCTTAACACAATTGGGAGCCAATGCCTGTGCAAAATCCTGCTCTTGCCAGAGCCCGGTATGAAACCAATTATATACAGTTGTACCTCGGGTTAAGTATTTAATTTGTTCCGGAGGTCCATACTTAACCTGAAACTGTTCTTAACCTGAAGCACCACTTTAGCTAATGGGGCCTCCTGCTGCTGCCGTGCCGCCGGAGCACGATTTCTGTTCTCATCCTGAAGCAAAGTTCTTAACCTGAAGCACTATTTCTGGGTTAGCAGAGTCTGTAACCTGAATCGTATGTAACCTGAAGCGTATGTAACCTGAGGTACCACTGTACAAGGTTAGGAAGGCCGAAAGGAAGCAGTACTAACAGCATAAGAGAGAACATTTCCTATTGGCTCTGCTTTATGGAAGGGGTTCTTCTGGTTGGCTGTGAAATAAATAATTGCCCCCCCAGGGGGTCTTTGCCTCAGAAGGAGGACTGGGACCTCGGAAGGAGCGCGGTTGTAGAAGGCTCTGAATTGACACAGACCACACCAGGAATTGAGAAAAAGCAAAGTCTGATCTATATTGAAAGAACAGAGAGAAAAAAATGAAACTGTTGCAACAGGGTCCCCCCGCTCAGGTAATAAAATGGAGTGAGACCTGGAACAAAAGAGCTGCCTTGACTCTTAGACCTTTTGGTTTCCATACAGATTAATAACAGCAGAGATGGCAGGAAGCGACATGAATGGTGTGAAGAGGGGATTAACATAGAAGAAGAAGAAGAGGAGTTTGGATTTGATATCCCGCTTTATCACTACCAGAAGGAGTCTCAAAGCGGCTAACATTCTCCTTTCCCTTCCTCCCCCACAACAAACACTTTGTGAGGTGAGTGGGGCTGAGAGACTTCAAAGAAGTGTGACTGGCCCAAGGTCACCCAGCAGCTGCAGGTGGAGGAGCGGAGACGCGAACCCGGTTCCCCAGATTACGGGACTACCGCTCTTAACTACTACACCACACTGGCTCTCTTAACATAAGGTAAGAAGGATGTTGTAAGACCTTTGGGAGGTGTCAGTATTGCTGGTGGGCTGGAATAATATGTGTTGAGTTTCCTCTCATTTATTCTGGATCTGCTTAATGGCTTTTCCTTTATCTAAAGGAAAAATCTCCATAGTTGCTGCTAATCAGCATGCAGATCGTGAGGCTGGATGTTCGGGAAATAGCTTCAATGTTAATGTGAGATCCTGCTCTGCATTGCTATCAACTTGGGTGTGATAGTCTGATGTTTGCATACTTATTGGAAAATAAATCTACTTTATTTTGAGGCGGTATTTGTGTGTGTTCATGGCATTATTTGCAGACCCAGTAGATGGCAGTGCGGTGGAGAGTGTTTTGGCAGCTACAGTTTGGATACATTCAGAAAAATACAGCCTAGTGCAGCATTACATTTCTGTAAAGGTAAAGGTAAAGGGACCCCTGACCATTAGGTCCAGTCGTGGCCGACTCTCGCTTTATTGGCCGAGGGAGCCGGCGTACAGCTTCCGGATCACGTGGCCAGCATGACTAAGCCACTTCTGGCAAACCAGAGCAGCGCACGGAAACACCGGAGCGGTGCCTATTTATCTACTTGCACTTTGATGTGCTTTCAAACTGCTAGGTTGGCAGGAGCTGGGACCGAGCAACGGGAGCTTACCCCGTCGTGGGGATTCGAACCGCCGACCTTCTGATCAGCAAGCCCTAGGCTCTGTGGTTTAACTGTACTCTGTAAAGGTTCATTCATGGAAAAAGAGATACATTTCACTAAGGATACATTCTTATACATTTCAGCGATAGCAAAAAGTAAAAAAGACACAGCAAAATGATATATTCAACGATACATGAAAAAGACACAGCATACATTCTGATACATTTCAGTGATAGCAAAAGAAGGTAAAAAGACACAGCTAAATGATTTATTCTCAAACGATGCATTCTCCAAGGCACAGTTCATTTCGTGTGGGGTTTTTAAGGTAGAACACTAGAATTCTGATATTGGTAGGGTCATTTTCCTTTATTCCCCTCTCTGACCCTGACTCTCTTACAACAGCCGACACCTGCCTCATTCTTATTGGCTGCTGCTTGCTATATAAGGCCTACCGTTGAGATGGTTTTGAGGCTTTGTTTTATCTAGATGTGTGCTAAGGGTTTATCTAGATGTGTGCTAAGGGAATTGATGCTTTTGAATTATGGTGCTGGAGAAGACTCTTGAGAGTCCCATGGACTGCAAGAAGATCAAACGCATCCATTCTTAAGGAAATCAGCCCTGAGTGCTCACTAGAAGGACAGATCCTGAAGCTGAGGCTCCAATACTTTGGCCACCTCATGAGAAGAGAAGACTCTCTGGAAAAGACCCTGATGTTGGGAAAGATGGAGGGCACAAGGAGAAGGGGACGACAGAGGACGAGATGGTTGGACAGTGTTCTCGAAGCTATGAACATGAGTTTGACCAAACTGCGGGAGGTAGTGGAGGACAGAGGTGCCTGGCGCGCTCTGGTACATGGGGTCACGAAGAGTCGGACACGACTAAACGACTAAACCCCCTTTATCTGACACAAAGTGACCCCAATATGTGAAGCTTTGCTGTGGGGAGTGTGTGTGTGTGTGTGTGTGTGTGTGTGTGTGTGTGTGTAAAAGCAGTGTTTAATTCTTTATCTGCCAGATTTCCCCTTGTACCTGTGCCCCAACACCACCCTGCTTTTACCACTGCCAGTGCTTTCAGGTGCATGTTAACATCACCTTCCCAGGTTATAACAAATAGTTAGACTTCATATGACAAACAACATGTAGTTCAGGAGCTTACCGTATTTTTCGCTCTATAGAAGAAGAAGAAGAAGAAGAGTTTGGATTTGATATCCCGCCTTTCACTCCCCTTCAGGAGTCTCAAAGCGGCTAACAATCTCCTTTCCCTTCCTCCCCCACAACAAACACTCTGTGAGGTGAGTGGGGCTGAGAGACTTCAAAGAAATGTGACTGGCCCAAGGTCACCCAGCAGCTGCATGTGGAGGAGCGGAGACGCGAACCCGGTTACCCAGATTACGTGACTACCGCTCTTAACCACTACACCACACTGGCTCTCCGGACACCGGACCATAGGACGCACTGAACCATAGGAGGGGGAGAACAGGGGGGGGGAATTCTCCCCCTCTCGCTCTCCAGGCTTCAGCGAAAACAACGCGTAGCCTCTGGAGCGCGGAGGGAGCGCTCCCTCTGCGCTTCGGAGGCTTCGTGTTGCTATCGATGAAGCCAAGGAGCCTGCATTCGCTCCATAGGACGCACACACATTTCCCCTTAATTTTTGGAGGGTAAAAAAAAGTGTGTCCTATAGAGTGAAAAATACGGTACTTCATTTTTCGTTTCCATCTCCAAAGAATGGATTCTCTAAAAAAAACAACCCCTCTCTTTTCCTCTTTTGTTTTGTTTTGTTGGTGGCCTATACTTTCCCTCATAGGTGGAAGGATGGGAGAAATTTCTTCTGCAGCTTTAAAGGCAAGAGGGAAATTTTTTAATCTGCACGGGCGTGTGTTTGTGTGTAACACAATAGGAGGCAGACAGAGCTGGAAGAAAATGCCTGTAGAGAGAACGCCATTGGCTGCCAAGGGAACAAGGCAAGAAATGAGCTTTGTTTGGAGGATAAAAAAACAGAAACATGATCCAAGGAGGGCAGCGTCTGACAAGAATCATCCTGTATGAGGCATCTGAAAATCCTGACAGGTTCCAAAACGTGTTCCTTCCTTCCTAGGCAAAGCTGGAGTTACCTGATGTGTGTTACAAGGAGGGTATTGACAAGGATCAGCAGCTACTACTGGCAGCCCAGGGTGCCAGTTTGACTTCTGGGGGCTTCCTATCCAGCGCTTGAATGATAAGGTTCAGCATCAGCAGTCAGCTCAGAAGGGCTCCTAGCCAGCCCAGTCTGGCTGTGATGCCGCTCCTCACCATCTCCCCAGAGGCTACTGCAGTGGTGGGTGGAAGGTTCTCAGTTCAGCTAACATCCTTAAGGGCCACCCGCCATCTTTATTTATCCAAAATGGACAGGCCTCAACGCAAACCTCAAAAATGGCACTGAGGTGAGGGCCCAGTTGCCCCTCTCCTATCTACTCCTTTGAGAATTGGCCTTGCCAATCAGAAGGTCGGCGGTTCGAATCCCCACGACGGGGTGAGCTCCTGTTGCTCGGTCCTTGCTCCTGCACACCTAGCAGTTTGAAAGCACGTCAAAGTGCAAGTAGATAAATAGGTACCACTCCGGCGGAAAGGTAAATGGCGTTTCTGTGCGCTGCTCTGGTTCACCAGAAGCGGCTTAGTCATGCTGGCCACATGACCCGGAAGCTGTACGCCGGCTCCCTTGGCCTATAAAGCGAGATGAGCGCCGCAACCCCAGAGTCAGCCACGACTGGACCTAATTGTCAAGGGTCCCTTTACCTTTACCTTTTATGATCCTGCAACTCACCACATTTTTGATGGGAACAGAATGGACATATGGAGGAGGGTCTCATCGAGGGCTGTCCCGAGACATCTTCCTGCTTAGCGTTACTGGAAATTGGAAGGGGGGTGGACCCCCCCAAGCCTTGCCTCTCCACACTACGAGGGCAAAGACAAAGAGCTTCCACTGAACATTACCAAATGTAGCAAACTGATAAATGACAGGAGATAAACTGTGACAGGAGAAAAACAACATTTAAATTTCTGTGATGTAGGTGGGATGTATCTGAGGGGTGGTCTTAGGTTACACCCCTTCTGTGATGTATGCATAATTTTTCTGGGGGTGGTCTTGATCTAGAGAATGGGAATTTCAAAAGTCTTTATAAGGTCTTGCACACCATCTTTCTGGGTCCTCCTCCTCTCCTGCGTGTGAGGGAGTACCCTGTTGCAACAGATCAATAAAGATCAAGCTTACTAGCTGCTTTGCTTCTCAATATTCTCTGGTTGGCCTCTGTTATTTTCTCCTACCAATAGGGAACCTATGTAAGGACTCTATACGCATCTATGTACTGGCTCAATGGGAAAACTTTAGGAAGTCATATAAAATCGCTCCAGTGATGGATTTACACCATTCCAACGTTCTAATTGGAAGGAAAATGGCTACCAAAAGAGGAGCTTGGGAGAGGGCTTGGGGCAGCCATAATCCCTGAAGCATGAGACCACTTATGCAGCAGCCCCACTGCCTGGGTGATAATCCCTGGCATCCTGGCACCTGAGTGCCAGACAGGTAATCATCCCAATCACAATAGCAAACCCAACCTCAATGGATTGGGGTCTCAATCAAGAGGAAAGGGTGTGCTTAACTTGGCTGGGAAACAGGAACATGTAAATACTTACCTTTCTTTTACCTAGTGGGTGTGAGGTGGAGGTGAAGGAAGGGAGAGGGGGCAAACCTTATACTCAGGTTTCTGCCAGAAGACAGTTTATGACATAGTTATGACAAAATGTATGATGTTTTTGCTAAGGGTGTTATGGGTAAAATGGGAAACTTATAAAACAGGGAGCCATCCTTCTTTCTTCTCTTCCTTTTGTTAGTTTGAAGTCCTGTTGCAACAGTTCCTTGAATAAAGATCAGGCCTGCAGGCTGCTGTTTTGCTCCTATATTCTTGGCTGGTGTCTTTGTTTGGTAATCCAAGTGAAACGGGGAAATTTTTCTTTAACATTTCTTTAGCTCCGTGGCAGAACATCTGCTTTGCATGCAGAAGGGCTCAGATTCAACCCCAAGCATCTCCAGATTGGACTGTCTGGGACAGAACTCTGTCTCCAGCCAGCCACTGCCAGCCAGTGTAGTCAGCATTGAGTTAGATGGACCAACGACCTGAGTATAAGGCAGCATCTTATGGTGCCTGAGGACAAGATGGTGCTCTTCCCATTGATTTGAAGGTTATTGTGAAAAGGTTTGAAGAAACGAATAACAAATTATAAGGTAAAAGGTAAAGGTAAACTTACCTTACTTTCTTGTTGTTGCTAGCTACCTTACTTGCATCAAGAGATGGTCTAAAAATATATTGGAATAAATAGAATTGATAAAAGTTTAATTTAAAAAACTACCAGCTACCAGCCAGTATTTTATGCAGCAAATGTGCAGTATTTTATGCAGCCAGCTGCCTCTCAGCATACTGTGTTCAGCTAGCAAAATGTGGCCTCCCCTGCTGCAGCAAAGAACTGTAGGTCGAGATTTCAAGCAGGGACATAGCTGTCAACTTTCCCCTTTTATTGCGAGGAATCCTATTTGGAATAAGGGAATTTCCCTTAAAAAAAGGGAAAAGTTGACAGCAATGAGCAGGGGACAGGGAAGGGCCTCCACCATTCTACCCTGTCTCTGGGACAGAAGAGCTGCAATGTGTCTTTGAGGATGAACTCGGTTGCCTTTGTGCTTTTTCATATTGGGCGGGGATGGAAAAGGGGCGATGGTGGCAGCGGCTGCTCTCTTGCCCATTCCTGGCATGATCTCTCCCCTGCCTTCCACCCCGCTGTCCCAATCCAGTTCAGGGTGGTGGCGCAGAGAACCAGGTAATCAGTAACTGAGCGTGTGCATGTGTGTGTGTGTGTGTGGCCAAAGACTTTCCCCACCTACACTTGAGCCTCCTCTAAAAATCAGGCAGCTAGGTGATCTGCTGCCTTTCCCCCTTCCCTTTCCCCCACTCCTGCGCTGGCTGCGTGCACCAAGAGCTAAGTCACCCATTTGTTTTGGCAGTCTCTCCCTCTGCTCTGTACCCAGCCCCTGATGAAAGTCCTACTTGGTTATTACACACCGCAGAATGTCGCATAGATGGTGGGAAAACAAAAAACACAGAACAGCTAAGAGATTAAGACAGATATATAGTTAAATTTATACGTGACACAGATGATTAATTCCAGAGGAGGAAAGGGAGTTGTATAATTTACCTCTGATTTTATGGTTATGTTCTTTAGATGAGTCAGTGATTTAAAATCTTTGAATCTATAGCTATATCAGCACAGTTAATTGTGCAGAGGTAAGAGACTGAAAAGCAGAGACACAACCTTGCCAACAAAGGTCCGTATAGTTAAAGCTATGGTTTTCCCAGTAGTGATGTATGGAAGTGAGAGCTGGACCATAAAGATGGCTGATCGCCGAATAATTGATGCTTTTGAATTATGGTGCTGGAGGAGACTCTTGAGAGTCCCATGGACTGCAAGAAGATCAAACCTATCCATTCTGAAGGAAATCAGCCCTGAGTGCTCACTGGAAGGAGAGATCCTGAAGCTGAGGCTCCAAGACTTTGGCCACCTCATGAGAAGAGAAGACTCCCTGGAAAAGACCCTGATGTTGGGAAAGATTGAGGGCACAAGAAGGGGACGACAGAGGACGAGATGGTTGAACAGTGTTCTCGAAGCTACCAGCATGAGTTTGACTAAACTGCGGGAGGCAGTGGAAGACAGAAGTGCCTGGCGTGCTCTGGTCCATGGGGTCACAAAGAGTCGGACACGACTAAACGACTAAACAATAACAAGAGACTGAATTAACCTGGATGAGTGATGTCTGCTACCCTCAGTGAGTTAGGGATTTCTGCTGCAGGAGAAGACAGGCACCAGCAGATTGAGCAGAAAATATCAATAGTGGGTCCAATGGCCACAAAGGTGGTTTCTGGATGAGCTGTACAGTGAAGTGAGGGGTAAATGGGGCTCGTCAACCTGGGAAGGTAGCCCATCTAGGAGAAAGAAATCTCTGGTCCTAAACCTCCACTGTCTTGAGGGAAATCTTCGGGAGAAGAAAAGGCTAGGGAGTAAACTCAACACAAATCCAGAGTCGAGTCCCTAAGACGGTTGGATAGTGTCTTGTGTTGTAAACAAAATTTTTTCCCTTATGGGGTATCCAACAGCCCATATAGAGTCCTTACACAGGTTCCCTCTTGGTAGGAGAAAATAACCGAGGCCAACCAGAGAATATTGAGAAGCAAAGCAGCTAGTAAGCTTGATCTTTATTGATCTGTTGCAACAGGGTGCTCCCCTCACACGCAGGAAAGGATGAGGACCCAGAAAAATGGTGTGCAAGGGCTTATAAAGACTTTTGAAATTCCCATCCTGTAGATCTGGACCACCCCCAGAAACATCACACATACATCACAGAAGGGGTGTAACCTAAGACCACCCCTCAGATACATCCCACCTACATCACAGAAATTTAAATGTTGTTTATCTCTTGTCCTTGTTTATCTCCTGTCTGGCAGGTTACTTGATTGGATTTCCTGGGTAGCCTGGCCAGTCTTTTGTAATGATAAATACTTAGTTCCTGGGCCAGGTCACAGGCTCACAGGCTCACACCCTATTCAAACAGAGACATACCCTTAAGACAGGATTTGTGAAGGAAAAGACAATGGGGAGGCTTTTCCGCTTTGACCTTGCAGAGAAAACATTTGCTCAGTTTAGGAATCAAAATGGTTCCAGGTTGGCCTTCCTGTGCTGATCTATGTACATGCTTGGTTGGTACGCTTATGAACATTACCATATACCTAAGACCATAAAATTCCTATTACACTTGCACACTTCCTTCTGGCAACTCCTGCAGCCCAACTGGTGCCAAATGTATTGCTTGTCTTTCCTTTGGACCACATCAGCGAGGCTGCAGGGCAGTGACTTATAATCTGGGCAGCCCAGGACCTCCATATACACAAAGTGACCCCCAGGGAGGGACAATGGAGTGGAGAGGCACACTCCATTTCCTCTTGAGACAGATAGATGCCAACAACAACAAATTATAATATTGTATTTTATTGTATTACACTTTGTATTTTATTGTATTACACTTTGTATTTTATTGTATTACACTTTACTATGGAAGTAAAAGAAGCAAAGAAAAATACAATTAAGGAATCATACAGCATATTACAATTGCTACAACTGCAATAAAATTTATTAAGTGGTCCGCTAAGACCCTCAGTGAGATTAAGGTGGCCCATTGGCACATCGCCCCAAGGAATCCTGGGAATTGTAATTTGTTAAGGATGCTGGGAAATTGCTGCTCTGCAATGGGTAAACTAGAGTTCCCATGACTTTTTGAGGGGTGGGGGGAGCGTATTTTGAATCTGCTGTAAAGGTATGTATCATGTTTCACAATGGGCAAAATGAATGCTTGCTTTTGGGGGGTGTAATATCCATTTCCATTTGGTTTTTTAAAAATGTTTTTAATACAGTACTGAAATATTGCACACAGTGGTATTTCTGTAACAAAGGCTACCAAGACCTCTCTCTCTAAATAAAGAATCATGGTCCGTATTAGTTAGCATGACGGGCGTTCATTTTCCAATTGGATATTTTACATCAGGCTCCGACATGTCTTGGGCCTGACCTGACCTCACCCAGATCAAAGCTCCATCCCATTGACCCACACAGCCTGTTTGCGCTCCCTTTCCTCGCTGGGCGACGTTTGCTGGAACTGGGGGAGCGGGGAGGCACGGGGGAAGCGGCTGGAGGAAGAGGAGGTCCTGATGAACCTGCGCCTGAGGGCTGGGATTGTTCCTGCGTCTGTGTGTGTGTGTTCGTGTGTGTGTGTGTGTTCGTGTGTGTGTGTGTGTGTGTGTGTGTGTGTGTGTGTGTGGAGAGAGAGAGAGTCTCTTCTCCTTTGGAGAGGCTCCTGAGTCGCAGGTGCGACGTGAGCCGCAGACAATGGGCGCTTTGAGAAAGGAGGCCGCGCTATGGGGGCGGGGAAGCGGCGCGCGAGCTTCGGGTCTGGCGATCTCCAAAAGCTAGAGCGCAGGGCCGAGTTAGAAAAGAGCAGCCTTTTCCCTTTACAAACACCTTTCCATCCATTCAAACACCACCGCATTCCGTTGATTCAAACCCTTTGGAGAGATCTTCTTCGCCATCGGATTTTGTTTCAGGCTGAAGCTCGCGCCTCCCTGCAGGATAATAGCAGGCGAGCGTGCTCTCAGGAGGAAAAAGAATGAAAAGGGAGGGTGGTCCGCTGCAAAGCACAAACGCACCGTCCCAATATCGTCATTTGGTCACCAAACAAGCCCATTTCTCCCGCCAGGGCTTAATGCTCCAAATGTAGGACGGATACCTGGACTAAAGGGACTCCTGAGCGCGTGCAGAGTGCATTCCCCTGACCGCTCCCTAACTCCAGAAAATCCCCAACGGTTAGGGAGGAAGGACTTACAGCCTTTCTCAACCTGTGGGTCCCCAGATGTTGTTGAACTACAACTCCCATCACCCCTAGCTAGCAAGGTCAAAGCTCAGGGATGATGGGAGTTGTAGTCCAACAACATCTGGGGACCCACAGGTTGAGAACCGTTGGAAGGTGATACTGTACAATGAAGAAGAAGCAGATATGTTGCTTCCAGGCCGACTTTAGCCCCAGCATATTTTTTCTACAAAGGAATTAACCTCTGATCACAAACGTCGCAGTTCAGACGCCAGGAACATCGCTGGTTGGTCGCCGTTGGAGACAAAAACTGTGCCGGACTAGGTCAGGGATGGGGAACGTTTGGCCTTCCAGATGTTGTTGGACTACAGTTCCCATCATCCCTGGCCTCTGGCCACGTTGGCTTGAAGCTGAATTGGACTCAGCAACATCTGGAGGGTCACAGGTTCCCGTCCTTCGACCAGTGTCCCCCAAACTTGGGTCTCCAGCTGTTTTTGGACTACAGTTCCCATCATCCCTCATCACTGGTCCTGCTGGCTAGGGGCGATGGGAGTTGTAGTCCAAAAACAGCTGGAGACCCAAGTTTGGGAAACTCTGGACTTACGGACCCATCCAACAGGTGGGTCCAACAGGTCTTTGTATCCGTCAACAGGTCTTTGATCCAACAGATCCAACAGGTCTTTATATCCGTTAACACTCACTATCCCGGGCCATTTTTGAAAGGGACCCAGGTGTCCGGTCATGGTTCCCCCCAATTCTTTTTAAAGAACTCACTTTCAAGGTTGGGAATGGATCCCAGGAATCCGGGTCTCCCCCTTCCCCTGAAAACCCCAAACACCGTCTCCCTCTCTGTGTCTGTCAGGCTGTTTCCCTCCCCTCCAGCCCTAAAAAACCCCCTCACGCTTTCCTTAGCTGGGGATGGGATCCGGACGCGTCAAGCCCCTCCTACCTGTTAGCCACACCCACCGCGTGTTCTCTTCCCCTCCCCCCCCCCGCTCCTTCCCTCCCACCACCCCTCCGTCTGGCAGGTGTCTGCCTGGCCACAGCTGCAAAGGGGCCGGGTCCCCCCCCCTCCCGGCTCCCTCCTCCTCCCCGCCGCCCCAGGTGGGGAAGCTGTCTTGCGCAAGGAAGCACTTCTGAGCCCGGGAGACCTGCCCTGTCTCTGGCTTTTCAGCCATGAAGATCGCGCCCCCCTTAGCGGGAAGGCAAGTACCCCGGTGAGGGCAGCGAGGTAAGAGGGGCTTCTTTCCTTTCCGCGGTTGCTACTTCGCGAACCCCATTCCACAGGGAAGTGGGGAGCAGAATTTGAACGCTGCCCTGCTTTGCCAACCCGTGTGTTCCTCCACCTCCTTCTGGACACCCCACAATCCCACCCCCGGGCTTGTTGGCATATGATCACTTTGATATTCTTATTTTTTAAAATATTTCCATGGGCTACTTGCCGTTTCACAGTGGGTTCCAGTTTGGGCCACATTTCCATTTGCCTACTTTGCTTTCCCGCTATACCCTCCAGTTAAACTTTTTTTGGGTTATCGCTTTCGATCTGAACAGTTTCTCTGGCCTGTTCTGAATTTCGGAACGTGACGCTATTTGTTTGGGGTTGACTTGGTCCGACAGGTTTGGAAATGTGTGCTTATCTAGATGTTAAAATCTCTGGCTTGCCTCCAACTGAAGGAACTTAAATTAATCATGCCCGTTAACTTCAATAGTTCTACCCTGAGTAGGGCTAGTCTTGCATGCAACCCAAAGTGTGCTCCTCCCCTTTTAAATGAAGGATTAGGGATTAAGGAATGTTCTATCTCCATGGGTGTAGCCAGGATTTTTGAGGGGGGGGGGTCAGGCCTTTTGTTGGGGGGGGGGCAGAACCTCCGTTAGCTATGTATTTTTATTGATTTAGGGAAGCAGCTGCCCCCCAGCCCTCCATGTATATCTCATTGTTAATATCCTGTAATTCTTTACTAGAAAGATTGCTCCAGAATGTTTCTCGACAGCCTGCTATAATAAATTACTCCCTTGCCACATCCCATGCCTTTTGAATTAATAAATCACATTTTTTCTGAATTAATTCACTGCCTTCTCCTAACTGAGTAAGATAATACAGGGCAGTTTGGGCAATACCCTTGGGTGAGCTTCCTTGGTGGTGGGGTTGTGGTGAACTGAGAGCAGGTGGGGGGCACAGTTGTCTGAGACGGCTTGCCATTTTAATTCCCCACAATGCCCTGGAGCAATGCTACCTTGAGGGCATTGTGGGAAATTAAAATGGTGCCTCGACCCAGATTCCACCGGCATGGTGCATTTGAAACAGTCTCATACCACTTTAAACAGTAACTGCTTCTCCAAAGCACCCTGGGAAATAGAGTTTTTGTTAAGGGTGCTGAGAGTTGTTAGAGACCCATATTCCCTTCACAGATCTGCAATTTTCAGAGTGATTTAACTATCAATCTCTCTTTATGGGAAACTCTAGAAATTGTAGCTATATCTGAGGGGGAATAGGGGTCTCCTAGCAACCCTCAGCACCTTTAACAAACTATAACTCTCAGGGTGTTTTGGGGGGGAAGAGTTGACTGTTTAAAGTGGTGTGAAACTGCAGATGGGGTCTCAATGCTGCCTGAGCAGTGGGTCAGACTTTTTTTTTAAGGTGAGAGGCCCAAGGCATGTATCAGCAGTGAGTCTTAATGGGGTGTGAGGCCCAAACAGCTGCCCAAGGAATTGGGTGCCAGTGCTGGCCCCGACTAGGAAGTCCAGGTTTCAACTCCCCACTCGGCCATGATATTGACTTGTGCCAATTCACTTCTCACAGCCCTAGTATACCTCATTGCGGTGGTTGTTGTAAGAATGGAAGCTATGTGCACTGGAAGATTGGTAGGATACAAACAGGATGAACAGGAAATGTCCGTCCCTGATGGGGATTAGAATACCCCAATTTAGTCGTAGGCATGTATTGCAAGGATGTGTGTGTGTGTGTGTGTGTGTGTGTGTGAATTTGAGCTTTTTGCTCCTCTGGAACCAACTCTGGTCACGTGGCCAGCAATGCTGAGTAGGCAACCTGCATAATAACTACAGTCATACCTCGGAAGTTGAACGGAGTCTGTTCCGGAAGTCTGATTGACTTCCAAAATGTTCAGAAACCAAAGCATGGCTTCTGATTGGCCGCAGGAAGCTCCAGAAGCCCCGTCGGACATTTGGCTTCCAAAAGAATGTTCGAAAACAGGAATACTCACTTCTGGTTTTCAATCGTTTGGGAGCCGGAATGTTTGACTCGCAAGGCGTTTGGGAGCCGAGGTACGACTGTATTTTTGTTTGGAAAACTGATGGATATACACAGAGAGATCTCATTGTTGCCTATTCAGGGTATTAGGCCAGGGACCTCTGGATCAGGGAAGACAAGCTGACAGTCACCTCCCTGACTCCCATCAGCCTGGAACACCCCAAACCAAAGGAGGTACTGGGCACTTCTGCATTGATGGGAGGAGGACTTATAAGGGATGGTGAACTCATGGTCCTCAATTAGGTATTGGGACTAAGAACAGAGAGATCTTTGTCTTTCAACCAGTCTTGGACAGGAAAGTCCTTCAAACAGGATGCCTTCAGAAGAGAACAGGGATGTGAAACCTCAAGCCTGGGAGCTGCCTCTAGGTCCTGGTCTTTGGGACTCTCTCCTTGCCACTTCTCCACTGGCTTTGCTTCACATCCTAAAGGGGTTTTGCCTGGCTGGAATGTGTCTTTGAGCTCTGTTGTGCTTCTTTGCTAGCCTGGATGGAGGATAGCGAGGGGTGTGTAGAAATTAGCTTGCTGTGCAAAGGTAAAATGAACTTTGGTTGCTCTGGCCCCAGAAGGTCATACAGATGGGCATGTGGTCCTCACCCAGAAAAAAAAGGTTCCTTACACCTGAAACAGAGGACTGTCATCTTGAAAGCCCTTCAAATAGAGGACGGTGTCTTCTGTAAAGTAGGACACATGCCCCCCACACCCGCCTAGCACCTTCTTCTGGGTGTTCCCATGGGTGAACATCGTGTATAGGAAAGTGCCTGCAGAAAGCTACTTTGATAACATTGTTCCTGGTAATGCAGATTCCCTTGGGGCATTATAATTCCTGAACTGTATGATGCTTCCTCTTGGGTTCTAGACTGAACTCTCAGTTCTAACAAGGGACATTTCTGGAGGGGTTAGGAAACAGTGTTTTGTGCTCGCGGCTGGGACATCGGAGCGCTGCTGGGAAATTGAACTTATCTTTGATGTACTTGTTTGGAAAGTGACTCATCGGAGTGAAGTAAAGGTGAACCAAAAAACTGGAACACATTTCTGCAAGGCTGCCAGAAAATGAAAGAAAAGTGCAGCACATTACTGCCCAGTCCTTTTAAACCCCAAACCCCCTCTCTATAATACACAATAATCACATGTAATTTTACAGTTAGCTCATACTTCATATAGCCATAATTACAGGTTCATTTGTTTCATATTGATTGCTGTGCAATGAAGATGGTAACCGTTTCCCCTCGCTGATTGGATCTTTCCTTCTCATAGCTGCTAATATCTGTTTATTATATTTTGTATATCTTATTCTTCTTCACAATCATTAAGTGTGAAACTTTCCTCTTTTCCCGCAGCTTTGCTATTAAAATGCAAGCAGTTAGTAGCATTTGAGAGACCAGGGCAAAAGAACCTTGGCTAATACCTGGTGTTCTGTATTGCCAATACCATCCTTAAAGGGTCTGAAAGTAGACGGGTGTCTATTAGTTCTCTAATTTCTTGCTTAATTTCCATCCAGAATTCTTTGATCACCTCACAGTACTTTTGGCAGCTTTGCATCTCCAACAGCTGTCAGACGTTGTTGTCATGCAAACCAGGTCTATACCTCTTAAGTCAAGAGAGCTTATTGTTGACATCTCTTACAAGAGGCTGTGTCCTCCTGTAGAGCCAAATCTTCTCTGTGTAGCATCAGTCCACCATTATTTCCCTACATCGGCTGAGAGATCCACCAGCGTACATGTTCCCCTGCCCCCAGGCAGCTGGGAATGCTGCTTAAGTGTTCAGCATTTGTAGTGTTCAGTGGGTAAAGGCTGAAGAGCCCAGGATTCAGATTCCGACTAGGTCCTGATGCTACCTGGGTGACCTTGGGCTAGTCACACCTTCTCAGCTCAACCTACCTGTGGAAATAATATGGGGGAACCATGTGTGCCACCCATTGTTCCTCGGAGGAGAAGTGGAGTCAGTGTGTGTGATGGTGATACTCTGATTACTACTTTCTTTCTTTTTTCTTTTTCAATTTGATATTTTATTGAAAAAAAAAATCTGTTATGAAGCAACAAAGTGATACAAAATGAAAAAAGAACAAAGCACAAAACTGTGTTAAGGGGAAAAAACCATTATATGAATACAGTCTTACCTTGGTTCGCAAATGCCTTGAGACTTGAACGTTTTGGCTCCTGAACGCTGCAAACCTGGAACTGAGTGTTCCGGTTTGCGAACGTTTTTTGGAAGGCGAACATCCGGCGCAGCTTCCGATTGAGTTCAGGAATCTCCTGCAGCCAATTGGAAGCTGCGCATTGGTTTTCGAACATTTTCAGAAGTAGAATAGACTTCCGGAATGGATTCTGTTCGAAAACCAATGTATAACTGTATATACAAAAATACCCTAACTAACCCATTCTTTTATAAACTTGGTGGTATTATCCTAATACTCATGTAAATATTAAAAGCCTACTACATTTTGCATGAATTCGTTCCAAAAATTGTTGTATTTATCCAAGTGGAGTCTACGTCTGTAAGCAGCCCATTCATAGGTTGCAAGTGTTATCATATTATCAAACCACTGATTAAGGGAGATCATGTTTTTATTCTTCCAGTTCATCAACATCAGTTTCTTGGCTACCATTAGAGTGTGTAAAATCCATTTTTGTTGTCCTGTTGTTAACTTCCATGTAGTAGGTCTATGGTTCTGAACTACCACTACTTTCTTTGCATGCTCAATGGAAAGGTGGGCGGTGCTGTGGCTCCAGGATTTCGGGGGCCCTTGGTCTTGGCACCCACAGCACAGCCTTGCAACCTGTAAGAGCTGGAACATGCAAACTTGAGAATCTGCTTAGGGTATATCTGATGTTCTTGACTACTCTGTTAGGTCAGCAGGCTCTCTGTTGATCTCGGGGTCCTGACAGGTGTCCATCTTTGCCTCCTTCTCGACTCAGCCCTGGCAGATGGGTTCAAGGTTTCTTGAGGCTTACACTCATCTTTTGTTACCTACAGGGCTTCCAGATTCCCTCCACCCACCTAGAAAAGGCCTCCTCTCCTGGAGGACCTGGATTTTGGAAAGGAGGATCCGGCAGGTTTGATGATTAACCAGTTCTGAAATGGCTGAAAAAGATGGTGAGTTGCAATTTCCCCCCTGAAGGCCCTAGAACCTCCCATGCCTCTTTTCATTTAACTCCAGGCTTTCCTCCCCAGCACCCCCACCCCTCACTCAGCCAGAGCAGGACTTAAACATTAACATTTCTGGCTGATTCCTGCTGCCCTGGGAAAGGCAGTGAGGTCATGTGCCCATTAAGTGACCTCTTGGCACCCTCTCTCTAGGTTTTTGTTCCGTTCAGAGGTGGGCAAATTCCACAGGGTGAGTTGTGTTAGGTTTGCTGCAGGTGACTCTATGCTGCAGCAAAGAGTGTTTGTTGTTCTTGTTCATAGGTGAAGCTTTTGAGCCCCTATAGAGTCCTTAGAGCAGAGATTAATCCAGCTCTGATTTACTCGCCCCCGTCCTTGTCTTGGGTTCCACCAATGACAGTATATAAGACATACCGCTCTATGTATTATGCCAGACAGACTGTTGAGCAGTAGCGAGCTTTTTCATCCATGCTGAAGGCTCCTTGGATTCCCAGAGCCTGATTTTCTGACAAAGGTCTTTTTAGTGGTGGCACCTGTTTTAAGAGGGTGGAGCTCCCTCAGGTGTGTTTTTACACACTGGCCAGTGAAAATGTCTCTCTTTATCAAGGCTTTAGAAAACCAACTCCAAATCTGTGTTGTTGCTGTTAGTTTTATGGCTTTTCCACCTTTGCTGTAAATTTTAATTGTTTGGTGTTGTGAGTGATCATCGTGGTGGGTAGCTGAGTGAAAACTTCTTCTTCTTCTTCTTCTTCTTCTTCTTCTTCTTCTTCTTCTTCTTCTTCTTCTTCTTCTTCTTCTTCAAATTTGTATACTGTCCTATGCCTGCAGGTCTCAGGGTGGTTACAACCAGTGCTTTTTTCCCTGGGGGGATGCAGGGGTATGCATACTCCTAAACATTTTGTGAATCTTTGTCCATTTGTCCATTTACTGTATTTATTTTCCCCAATTTGAACTATAAAATGGTGCTTTTATTGAGTCAAAGTGAGAGTACCCCTAAACATTTTTTTAAAGAAAAAAGCACTGCTTACAACATAAAACCACAATATAGAAACACAAGATGCATAATAAAAACAGAAACAACCCAATGACAGCCCCTCCCCAACACACTGGGCATCAGCTGTGAAAAGGTGTATTCCATGCAAAGGGGAAGCTGCTAGATGTTGGACTCTTACTCCCATCATCCCCATCCAGCATGGGCAACGGCCAGGGATGATGGGGGTTGTAGTCCAGAAATGTCTGGAGAGTCACCTGTTCACCAGACCCACTGGAAAAAAGCCACTACAGCAGCGGTGAGGACCTTTCAGTCCTTGAGCCTAATAAGGCTGCCCAGGCCACCCCATTTGGCCTGCAAGGACTTTTGGGCAATGCTCCACCCAGGGCTGTCTTAAGCATATCTGGTGCCATGGTGCAAAGATCCCTCCGGCACCCCCCGCCCCATTTCCCAGAGTTGTCAACCTTTTCCCAAGCCTCTGCGGGGATTGCTCTCCTCCCGTGGAGGCTTCGGAAGGAAGCTGCACACCCACCAGCCATATGGTTGACGGGGTGCAGCTGGTGGGCGTGCAGGGAAAGGGGCGGCTGCCAGCAAAGCTGTGCAGTTCCCCACTCGCTGGAGCACCTCTGAGAGGCTGGTGCCCTGGCACAATGCACCACTAAGCCCAATCGGAAAGACGGCTCTGGCTCCACCTACCTCCACTACACCTGACACTACTTACGATGTCAGATGTGATGAAGGTAAACATGTGGCTCAGCCAAAAGGGGATTTGTGGGCACCGCCAATCAGCTCTGAAGAGCATTTTGCAAGGGGCTTCACAAGAACTGACCATCAGATCATAGTCTGCAATGACTGCCCAGTAGTGTCTGGTGTAGAGCTTTGCTATGAAAAGCAATTATCCAGAGCCCTTTGCAAAGCCTCTACAAGACCCAACCACAAGCTGATTGTAAGGTCTTGCAGAGTGCATTTGAAAGGTACTTTGAGGGCTTAGCTTTTGCCCCCGTAGTTTGATTTCAAACCAGATGGGCAGAAAAGGATCTCCTGACATCATTGCAATGTCAGGTGATTGATCAATTTGGCTCTGTGTGTGAGGAGATGCGGCCTGCAAAAACCAGATCCAATTCCCAACTCCTGCAGCTCCACTACTTTTCTTCTTAGTCTGGGGGCAAAGCAGAGAGGCACATGAGTAGTGGTCTCCCATTGAGCCAGGTGATAATGAAAACCCGATTTCTATTTCGTTTGAAGTTGAAATGATTACCTTCATGTGAAGCTCATTGATTTCAGTTCTAACAGCTTGCCTAAGCTTAAGTCAAGGTGATTTTGACTACATCCTGCTGCTGCTGTTTTGCAATCCTCCCTAAATTACAGGCAGGTGCCAGTTTGCATAACTTCAGGAGAGGTGTTAAGGTTATAGCTAACTAGCTGGCAGGAATGCATGCACAATAAGGACTTAAGAATGTTTCCCTGGCTGTCCAGCCAATTTCTGCTTCTAGAGGAATTAATAGCAGCTCCAGGGTATGGTACTTGAAAATACCAAAGGGTGTGCCTCCTCTTTCCCTATTTGCTGCTCTGACCCAGCAGGAAACAGAAAAAAATATACCGGTAGCTGCAAGCCATCTCGTACCTCGGCATCCAAGTGGTATGTGTGTCCTGGGCAGTAGTACTGCCAGATAATGGGAGAGGCTCCTGGCTCTGTTTCCTAACCAGTGAAAAAGAGGTGGAGGCAAAGGCCTCCAGTTATTACAGTGCCCCATGCGCTTGTTGAGAATTGCTACTACAGGTGTGCCTTTAAGGAGCAATCTGTTGCAAAACACGTCTGGCTGGGAACAAAACTTCTTTCAAGCACATGGAGTTTCCCCCTTGTTAAGTTTGCCTGCCAGCGAGTGATGCACCTGTGGTTTTGTGGTTGCCTTTCTGCTGTCTAACCACCTCTCTCTGCCTTCCAGGGGGCCTGAAACGACGCAACTGGACTTCGCCTAAGGTGGTGGCTGTAGTAGCCAGCGGCTTCCTTCTCTTGGCTGCGATCGGAGTTGGGAGCTGGGCTATAGGTGAGAGTCTCTGCAGGGCTGGAAGAGGCTGTTCACAAGACACATTAAAAACCAGTGATCCTAGTTGCAGGGTGTGTGTGCCTTTTATATGTATGTTTCTGTGTGCAAGGAAAGGGCACTCTATCCAACTCTATCCAGCCCAGGAAGACTTTCAGTAGTTGCCCCAAAACTCTTTCCATAAAAGATTCCATCTCTTTTCAAGCACACTGTAGGAACACCAAATGCAACACCAAACAGGGTAAGAACAAATCCTGGAGCAGGAATCACATACAGCTGGAAGCCACTGGTAAAAAAACAGGGCGAATGTATCAGATTCAATGCCAGGCTATTTCTGGAGAAATGGCAAGCCCTATAGTGTAAGGGAGTTTGAGCGGGCAGCAGTATCCCAGTAGTATGAATTCCTGTAGAAGATGGCTCTGCTGGAGCACTCCCGAAGCCCTTGAGGAGCCAAAGTCAGCTTTGGGTTTGGAACCTGATAGTACTACACCTAAGGAACCCACAGCAGGACCTGCAAGCATGGGGAAGACTATGGCAAACCGTATCTGAGCTTCAGACAGAAAGCTGATAGTCATTGACTTCTCCACCACATGGTAATGGACCAAGCCGTTCTTCCACAGTCTTACTGGAAAGTATCCAGATGAACTGAATTTGTTGTGGATGATGTTCAAGACATTGCTGCCTACTGCCATGTGAAATGCAGGCCAACGTCCCAGTGCTGCAAGAAAAACCAAAAGGTGCATGGATTCTCTGAAGCAAACAAGCAGAAGCTGGAAGGAACCCTACAGTAACCACAGATTTCTACATCATAAAGTGCTGACGGTTAAATGATAGCCTTTTCTGCACAATGAAATGATCAAGTTAGAATAAGTGCCCCGATGAGCTTTTGTCTCTCTGACCTGTAAATGAGAAGAATAAAAATGTAAAAAATGGCAAAAGGGGGGGGGAGGAAGAGAGAAAGAAGATGAATCTACTGATCCTAGCATCGCCTCCTATCTAGAGTTGCCATATTTCAAAAAGTGAAAGAGAGAAAAATTGTTTTGTTGAGCTTTTTTTTTTTTAGTTTTGCCCAAAGTTGTTGAGCAGAAAATTGAACATTTAGAAATTACCAAAACCAACATTGCTAACATGGGTAGCCATATGTCCGGATTTCCCCAGACATTGAAACAACTTTCGTCTGGACACTGTTTCTGACGACCGATTGCTGGCTATGCCTGGGAAATTTCGGACAAATATGGCAACCCTACTCCTTAAGATGAATGCTGTTCAAACTCAGGGGTGGGCAACCTACGACCTTAGGGCCACTTCTGGCCCACAGCCTAACTTCATGTGAATACAAGGAGCAGGGTGGGAAAGGGGGTGGCTAAGAGAGAGAAAATGGGGTACCCTTTGCACTTTTGACTCTAGCCCCACCCACCACTGGCACGGGGACCCCAACTGATTACCCCCAAGAGAATGAGACCCTTCACAAAAAAATAAAAAAGTTCCCCTCCTCTGCTCTAACTTCACCCTCCTGTCTCTCCATTGCAGTGGTTTCTGTGCTCAGAAGTGAAGGTGAAAGCCTGTATGTTGGTGAGTGTTTGCAAGAGAGCTGTGGCCTCTTTTTTACATACGGCATCATGTCATAGGGTCCAGTTTACCGGTCTTCTCTAAATCCCTGATCTCATAAATTACTTACACAATGCTTTCCCCCAGCGTTCCGTGTGCCTTTTCTCAGCCACCCCCAACAGCAACCCTGTAGGGCAGGCCAGTATTATATTTCTTTCCTGCACCTTAAAGGCCTAATTTTTCTGCAGAGGTTTGATGGGAACAGTGCACAGGCCACATTCCCATCATGACTTCAAAGCATTACACTATCTCTTTAAACAGTCATGGCTTCCCCCAAAGAATTCTGGGAACTTTCGTTTGTTAAAGATGCCGAGCGATGTTGGGAGAGACCCCTGTTCCTCTCACAGCTGCAGTTTTCAAAATGGTTTAGCAATAAATTTCTCTTCACAGGGAACTCTGGTATGGAAATAGGGGTCTACTAATAGCTCGCAGCACCCCTGGCAAACTCCTCCTCCCAGAATTCTCTGGGAGAAGCCATGACGGTTTAAAATGGTACCGTAGCCCTTTAGGCACGAATGGGGCCAAAGTTAAAATCAGGCAATTCACTCCCACAAGATAAAGTGATGCCTACCAATTTGGGTGGTTAGAAAGGGGTTTAGACAAACTCATTGAGGATATGCTATCAATGGCAGCAGGCCTCTGAAAACAGCAATGGGAGAGAGATGTTGTCTGCCTGGCTTGCGGACTTCTGGAAGGCACCTGATTGGCCTCAATAGGAAAAAGGATACTGGGCTAGCTAAGACCTTTGGTCTGATCCAACAGGACTCCTCCTATGTTCAGTCCTGAGGTAAATGTGGGGAATTGTGTGAGAATCCATTCAACTGAATTACCCCCAAATCCTGATGCCATGGCGCACCAAATTAAACATTCATTCAAGATTGTTCCTATATGGATAATTTAGGCCATCTGCTATCAGCTGAAGCACGAAATCTAGGCCTGAACTTACTGTAAATATGCCTATATAGTTGCCAGGTAGACATCATTGCACAACGGGAGTATTTGGGGGAGCTCTCAGAAGCCAAGCTAGGAAATTTAGGGGTGAAGCCAATACTAGTCCTTGCCCATTGAAACTGATGTGCACAACTAACTTGGAGTCATATATCTCTGTGGGTCTGCTGTGAGGAGAAACTAGCTGTTAAGTAATGTGTCATATTTCTAATTTGGCTGTGCCATGGTGCCTCATGCAAGAGGGAGATGCCACCATGAATTAGGAAAGGATCGGTCAGTGTTGGGCTGTGGCAAAGGTGGGGTGAAGTGTGGGCATATCCTGCCAAGATCTCACACCTTTGTTTGGTCAATGCAGTCCAGGTGAGCTCTGGCGACCTGCGCCTCACTGTGTACGATGAGAATGAAGGGAGGTGGAGGCTGCTCTGTTCGTCGTCCTCCGATGCCCAAGTGGCCACCCTCAGTTGCGAGGAGATGGGATTTGTCAGGTACTTCAAGAGAACGGTAATGGCTGAGGTGACTAAGGGTGAGAGGAGCATTGCCAGAGGAGGCCTTTTGGAGCAGAAGTTTAGAAGAGGGAGCCTCATGAGCCTAGCTTATCCCATAAGAGGGAGAAAACCTGCACCAGTTGAGATGCTCTCTTCTATGTATTACACAGGACCACCCACCTCCTCTGCTTTTTAACTTGGCCATCATAATTTTATTCATTTCACAAAAATTTTACACTGCTTTATTGTAATGAAGCCTCACAGCAGCTTGCAAAAAAGAATAAAGCCACCAGTAAAAAACAATTATTTAAAACCTTAAAAAAATAAGTAAATGATAAGTTAAAAACCTGATTAAGATGCATGCCAGCATTCAACATAACCGATGCTCGCATGGGTCTGTAGCCCTTTCCAGGCATTAACTGCATGTAGGGCTTTTCACCTGTGGAAAGGGAAGTAGGGCTACGTCCCAGCATTGCAACCCCTGCCGGCTCTGCGTTTAGCTCAGGAGCCTGAGAGCTTCCCTTTGCGGATGGACACACTGATCACATAGACACTGAGGACAGATCCCCCTGTTTCTGCACATGAGAACTGTAGCTGCATTCAGTGTGTGAGAAGGGCTTTGGAGACATTGGCCACTGGTAGAACTTGTGTGAGAGGTGAGACCAGTTGAGAGATGTAGGTAGGGGTGGTCTGGTCTAAGGAGCCTTGGAAAACGGATGGGATTAGACATGCTTCCTCCCCAAACTGTTGGGCTGAACCAAATGGTCATGTTTGGGTCTTGTTTTGTTCACCCCAAAGAGTGGATGGTGTTCAGGGCATGATCAAAGCAGCCTGCAGCATGCCCTTCCCCTGAGCACCCTGCTTTTGGTGCAGAAGGTGGCAGGATAAATCCCTGGCATATTTAGCTCGAAAGCAGCCATTACTGAGCAGCTGTATTCTGCTCCAAAGCTTTAGCATTGGAGGGGGTTGGACTAGATGACTCCTTGGTCATCTTCCAACTCTACGATTCTATGGAAGCCGTGGGGGGGGGAGAGGGTGGTAAGCTGGCGCTTTCTAGATATTGTTGGACACCAGTTCCCATCAGCCCCAGCTAGCATGGCCAGTAGTCAAGGATGATGGGAATTCAACAATACGTGGAGAACCTCAAGAGGTATTGGAGAACAGGGCTGAGAGAGTCTTCTACCCAGGTGGGTGACTCAATCTAGAGTCAGGGCAATGCTTCCTGTAGTGGTCACATGGTCGATCCTGGCCACTCAGGGGCCCTTCTAAGGCAAGCATAGTCAAACTCGGCCCTCCAGATGTTTTGGGACTACAACTACCATCATCCCTCGCTAACAGGACCAGTGGTCAGGGATGATGGGAGTTGTAGTCCCAAAACATCTGGAAGGCCAAGTTTGCCTATGCCTGTTCTAAGGCAACCTCTTTCATTGCCCTTTAAAAACAATCCTTGAAAATGCACCAAGAGGGCCAGGGAGATCTCTTTCGGTTCTGGTGCTGGGATGTAGGCATGGTTGTTGCATTGATACTGACCCCCTCTGTGTTTGCCTGCCCTTTAGGTCTCTCTCCCATTCAGTTCTGGCTGCTGACAGAGCAGGGGCCAATGGGACGTCGGGCTATTTCTGCGTGGACGAGTCTCGCCTACCTTTTGCGCGAAGGCTGAGCGAGGCCATTGTGGTGTGGTAAAGTACAAGATGGACTAGGGTCTGTCAAAATTGACCCATGTTGGTGGGGCCCATAAATGTTCCCCACCCACTGGTCTAAGGCATTTCACAGTCCTATATGATGGATCTCATGGACTTAATCCCAACACTTGGTGACTGGATTATATTCTGTCCCCTTATGCTGCTCTCAGCTGCCAAATACTTGCCCTATTCCCCTAACAATTGGTACTGGGACTGACCCATTTGTGAGTGACATTGACGGCAGATCACATAAAGCACATGGTTAAACTACAGTTCCCAGGATTCTTTAGGGGGAAGTCATGTGCTTTAGATGTGTCTTGGATGAGCTGTAACTGTACAGGTTGTGCCTGCCCTCAAGAGTGAGCACAGACATACTAGGAAAAGCGCATCCATCACCAGAATGATACCCTTTCTCTGAAGCTTCATCACCATATGCGTATACCAACAAACTGAATGTTGGCTCAGCCTTACCCCATCCTTTGCTGTTTGGGCAGCCTGCCTGTCTCTCTGTTCATTTTTAAAAGCATCTCATGAATGCTCATGGGTGCATGCATTCATCTCTTGCCTACAGCTGGCTTCTGCTGCAAACTTGCAGAAGCATGAGCTGTTGGGGTTTTGCTTAGAATTTGACCCTGGAGAGGAATAGGTACCGTTGCAATAAACCCAATAAGGGCTTAAAGCAGGCTTCCTCAACCTCAGCCCTCCAGATGTTTTGAGACTACAATTCCCATCATCCCTGACCACTGGTCCTGCTAGCTAGGAATCATGGGAGTTATAGGCCAAAAACATCTGCCTGGCTTAAAGTCACTGTAAGTGTGTGACATTGACATGGCTAAGGTCATTTAGTTCATAATGATACCCAGGGGCTGTGTGTAAGCTAGGCTTTGGAAAACAACACCTTCCCCACCCAGCTCTGCACCAGGAAAAGGCGCACCCTGTGTGAATTAAAACAAGTGAAAATATCCTTAATCTGCCTATTTTACATCATTCCCCTGCTAGCCACAGGAACACAAGGACTTTTACGGCCACTATAAATCCTACTCAATGTGAATTCCAGCTTTCGAGTTAGCAAGAAACTGCACCGTTGCCTCCAGGCTTGTCATAAGGCTTAGAATCCTGGAAATCAAATGCAGGTGGAGATGTTCAGGGACATGAACTCCGCACCTGGCAGAAAGGTCAACTTGCAAGGAACCTGGAATACACACGTTCCTGATGAAGGTTCGCTCTCCTTCCTTTCTGCAGCTGAGCCCTCTCCTCTTTCTCTCTCTCTCACAGTGAATGCCCGACAGGCCGATTCCTGGCAACGCTATGCCAAGGTATGGAAACCCCGAACCCTCCCAAGGGCACCGTCTTGATCCACCTGCCTGCGTACAGGTCTCTCTCTCTCTCTCTCTCTCTCTCTCTCTCCCTGCTATCTTGAAGTTCCTCTAACTCTTTCCCAGTCTCCTTCTGTTGTCCAAATGCCATTAACAGCTTTTCGTTTTCTTCTTCTGACCTGCTCACACCTAAACACCCCTTGGGACAGTGGAGGCTGGTCTGTTAGGCCAAATGCCCCACCAACCTCAGCCAGCCAGCCCCCACCTGCCTGCCTCCTTATTTCCAACCAAACCGGGAAGTCCAGAAGGTGGCCCTGACTGCCAGCTTCCTCCTCCTTAGTCTCAGTGCTGCCCTTGTAGAAATCATCAGGGAGGACAGGGGAACTGACATTGGCTCTCTGGCTCCACCTACAGTTGGACTCCCTGCCTTCCACCCTACCAGCCCCAACAAGCACCAGCCATCACTGCCTTTTTAGTTTACTGGCCTTGGTGCTAATGCGAATGTGATCTCATGAAAGCAGACAGAAGCTTTCATCAAAACGAGGAAAGAAAGGCAAGGTCAGCTCTAGCTTTGAGGAAGCCATCCGCAGGGCGCCTTCTGGTGGGTTCCTCTGTTGCCAGCAGGTTTACCCATTAGGAGTGGGTCAATGCCTGGCAGCCACCATTTAAATTTCCCACAATGCCCCTGACGGCTCTGATGACCTTGTGTGAAATGGAAATCGTGAGTGCCAGTCAGTCAGTGTGTGCGTGAAATTAAAGGGAGCTCAGGGCAAGTGGTGACACTCAGCCCAGCCAGGAACCCCAGTAACTGCCCCCCAAAAGCTGTGTGGTGAAGCTGGGACTGGATAAAGGTTCTAGAAATCTACGGACTCATTAGTTGCCAGTAAATGTTAGAAACCTGCATTGCCTCTTATCGAGGAATGGCTAAGGAAATACTGTGTGCAGCTTAGGGATGGCAGTCAACACCCTGAGATGGCGGAGAAAGCATGGCCTCTGTTTATTGGTCCACCCAATAAACTTGGCCATTTGGCATTTCGTTTTTAAGTTTGCTTGCCTTTTGTGTGGTAACTGCCGAGCAGCACTACAGTTCCCAGTGTTCCTGAGAAGAGGGCTTGATGGTTAAACTATTATGGGAGCTGTAGTTCTCTGAGGGGGAATACAGGTCTCCTAATTACTCTTTGGCACCCTCAACAAACGACAGGGCCTAGAATTCTCTGTGGGAAACCATGACTTAGGACAGCATGTGCTTGGGCACGCTGCAGGCCCTGTGGTGAGTGCCGCCCGGCATTTTGCCACACACCCCCCCTCAGGGTGACACCCGGGGCGGACCGCACTCCCGCACTCCCCTTCCTATGCCCCTGTGTGGCCCATGGCACTCTCTTCATGCAGCAGAATGAGGTGGCACGATTCTGAGGCAGGGGTTTGCCTTGTACTATTCAGGCAGCAGGAGGTGGGTACCACTTAAGAATGCTCCCTGAAATAAAAGCTTGAGATGGCAAGTTGAAAACAAAAACACAGGCCTATCCCATCAGGGAGAAAACTTCTAACCCAGCTGCTCCCGGTTGTACTCGTTGTGGTTTTTTATGTGCTTAGCATTAAAAAAAATGTTTCCTCCCCAAAAACCCCCACAACACTTGATGTGGTACAGGCCATTTCCAGATAACTCTGGTCTCTGTCACTGATATGTTGGCGTGTACTGAGGTAAGGGCAAGGAGGAGCCTGGTCCAAACAGGGTCTGCTCCCTTCACCTCGGCACATGTGGAGATGGCTGGAACACTTGAATAATAAGGAAAGGTCTCATTTGTGGGCAGCAGAGGCTGTGACTGGGGCAGGTCTGTGAATTATTTTGATGGCATGCAAGAGTTGTGTGATACAGGAGGTAGTGATGACCACCAACTAGGATTACGTTAAGAGAGGATTAGATGAACTTGGGGATGTTTACAAGGCTTTCATTAGCTACTAGGCCATTGGAATCAAAGTTGGTGTGCATGTTCATGAAAGTATTCTGTAGGTCAGGTATGAAACTCAGCTCAAACCCATACATCTGATTTTGTTCTTTACTCTGCAGCAATTGTGGGAATGGGATAGACTCTTAAAAAGAAGTGTATCTCAAATCCTAGAGGGTAGCCGGGAAATGGCCCCCAGTTTTAAGTGACACTACCTGATCACCTGGGATGTTTCTAGCCAGAACCTGCCCCTCGAAGAACTCATTCCTGTTGTGTTCTTTGCAGACTGTGGACGTAGAAAGTTGTCCATGGACCGCATTGTGGGAGGCCAGGACGCCAGCTTGGGCAAATGGCCGTGGCAAGTCAGCCTGCGCTATGATGGGACGCACCTTTGCGGTGGCTCCATCATCTCCAATGAGTGGGTTATCACGGCTGCACACTGCTTCCCAGAGTAAGTCCCTGTCATATCTGTGTTTGCTATTGTGATGGCTCCCAGCTTGGTAAAGTTGCTCCTCTCATGGCTTGCCCTGATGTTTTAGGGTGTTTACTAGGATGTGTGAACACATCTGAAGGTAGCCCTGTTCAGGGAAGTTTCTAATGGTTGATGTCTTACTGTGTTTTTAATATTTTGTTGGGAGCTGCCCAGAGTGCTTGGGGCAACCCAGTCAGATGGGTGATATATTACTAATATTAATATTAATAACAACAGCAACATGAAAAATTGAACTGAATGGCCTCAGTTGGCTTCAGTTTTAATTTGTTCCAAAACAGACGTGATTAGAAATGAACGAATCATGGAACTGAAGGGACTCCAAGAGCCATCTAGTCCAACCCCCTGCAATGCAGGAATCTCAACTAGATCATACATGACAGATGGCCATCCAACATCTGCTTAAAAACCACCAATGACCAAGAGGCCACCACCTTCAGAGGGAGTCCATTCCATGGTTGAACAGCTCTTATTGTCAGAAAGTTCTTTCTGGTGTTTAGTCAGAATCTACTTTCTTGTAACTTGAATCCATTGGTCCGGGTCCTAGCCTCCAGAGCAGGACAAAACAAGTTTGCTGCATCTACCATGTGGCAGCACGAGATATTTGAAGATGGCTTTCATATCACTTCTCAGTTTCCTCTTTACCAGGCTAAACATACCCAACTCCCTCAATCGTTCCTCATAAGGCTTGGTTTCCAGACCCTTGATCATCTTGGTTGCCCTCCTCTCCAGCTTGCCATTATCCTTAAATTGTGGCACCCAGAACTGGATACAGTCTTCCAGATGTGGTCTGAGCAAGGTGGAAGAGAGTGAAACTATTATTTCCCTTGATTGGGATCCCATTCCCTTGACTGGGATACCAGAATAGCGTTGGCTTTCTATTGCTGCTGCTGCTGCACGACACTGTTGACTCACGTTAAGCTTGTGATCTACTAAGACCCCTAGATCCTTTTCACATGTACTACTGTCAATCCAGGTGTACAAATGTGTTTGTTCTGTTGGAGGTTTTCCCATTGGCATCTGGTTGGCTTCTGTGAGAATAGGATGCTGGACTAGATGGGCAACTGGCCTGATCCAGCAACCTCTTCTCATGCACACCCACCCACAGGCCACCATCAACCCTGGCAGTGTTGTATAGCTGTCCTCCTCCAATCTCTTTCTGTGCCTTAGGCTGATAGCTCAGTTGGTAGAGCATGAGACTCTTAACCTCAGGGCCATGGGTTCGAGGCCCCACGTTGGGCAAAATATTCCAGCATTGCAGGGGATTGGCCTAGATGGCCCTTGCATTCCCTTCCACCTCTATGATTCAATTTTGATTTCACCAAGTCTCCCCCATCTCTCTGCAGGAGGAATCGAGCACCGAGCAGGTGGCGGGTGTTTGTGGGGGCCGTTTCCCAGCGCTCTGCTAAGGGGCTGCAGGTGGGTGTGACAAGCGTCGTGTACCACGGTGGGTACCAGCCCTTCCTGGATCCCAACAGTGAGGAGAACAGCAACGACATTGCCCTGATGCACTTGGCAACGCCCCTTTCCTTTAACGGTGAGAATGTGGTGTCAGGAAGGTGGTGGTGGGGAAAGAGTTATTAAGAGCCAGTGGGGCAGGGGTGGGGAATCTGTGAACTCTGGTTGTTGGACTCCTCCTCCCCCTGGCCCCCCCCCAAATCCACCCAGGGAGGTGGGGAGAGGGGAGTTGGGCAGGAAGAAATGTTGTGCTGATGGAGCAATCATAATAGCGCAGTGTTGAGATCCATCCATACGATTCCCAAGCTACGCTGGTTATGAGTTTGCTAGCATGATTATATTGTCACCTGCCTTGCAACCTTATGATGAAGTGTAAGGGAGAAATCAGAGAAAGGAAGGAATGTATGCTTCCATGCCCTATGGGGCTACGATGTATCGCAATGCAGAGCTTGCCTTTCAAATTAAGGTGTTGGTTGTGCCCATGCTTCAACTTGGGACAACCACTGCAGAAAAAAGTTAACTCTGCATTCAAAGCCAGTGTTGGGGTTCGACATCTAATGGGTGATGGGCCTGGGCACACTGGCAGTGCCAAGCAAACCAGCTGAGTTTTTTTGGCTTTCAGGAGAGTGGATGGGTGACAGTATGAGCAACCACAGCTGTCAGAAGAGGCAACAGCCACCATCACCTGCTCTCTCTTCTGCAGTATGTCTGTTTGTGGGAGACTGATTGTGACTTCCCCAAACTCCCTCCCCCCTCTGGAAAAAAAAAAAAGCAGTCAGCCCAGTGCATATATTCATGTTTCTGAGTATGTGCGCGCACGAGAGAGAAAAGGAAAACCCATGGATGCGAGCGACCCAGAAGCTAGGAGGCAGGATGAAAAGATTCATTTGCCTCTGGACGATACTTTTCTTTCTCCCCACAGAATATATCCAGCCCATCTGCCTGCCAGCTTTGGGCCAGCCTTTGGTGGATGGCAAGATCTGTATCGTTACTGGCTGGGGCAACACCCAGTACTATGGTAAGTACCTCTTGCCACTACTAAGATGGCAGCAGCTCTTGCAAGCTGCATTGTGTATCCTTCAGGCTCCTTATGCAAGTATAGAAATGGCTGTGGGCTGCATCATTCACCTGATAACCTCAGAATTATGTCGGTTCATTTTTTTTTTTAAGCTGTGAGGCTTCAAGGCAGGTTTAATTGATGTGGGCCATTCCTTAAAAAACCCATACAATCCAGAAGCCAAAGGGAGATCTGATGTAAGGGCCAATAAAAGCAGAATGCAAAGTGTCTTTTAGGTTGCAGAACTTAGCCTGCCATGATACAGAATCCCTGTAATTTTGACTATTTCCCCTGCTTATATGCAGACGACATACAGCTCTGGTTACAGGTGGGTGAGATGAAAAGTGGTGTTCCAGCTGCAGCTCCTTACATCACTTTGAGTTGTCCATTTTGGCAGCCATTGCTGCTTCTACTGGGAGTTAATTCCATAGTGTTAACAATGCCCTGTATTCCAGTACAGAAACTGTTCTTAACCTGAGGTACCACTTTAGCTAATGGGGCCTGCCGCTGCCGCCACATCGCCGCCACACGATTTCTGTTCTCACCCTGAAGCAAAGTTCTTAACCTGAGGTACTATTTCTGGGTTAGCAGAGTCTGTAACCTGAAGCGTCTGTAACCTGAGGTACCACTGTATTGTGAGGAAGAGAGATAAACTTCTCTCTGCCTACGTTCTCCACATTGACCCCATTGCACGTTGCACTTCCTTGTGGAAGCGAGCATCGCTCTGTGGTGGAGCACACTCTCCGTGTGCAGAAGGCCCTGTGTTCAAACCCTGGCATCTCCAAGGATCAAGGGAGCAGGCAACAGGAAAGACCTCTGCCAGAGGCACCGGAGACCTGCTGCCAGCCAGAGCTGACTGCACTGGGACAAATAAGTCCGACCTGTTTACTAAGCCTGCTTTCCTACGGCACTCGGTTCTTCCACTTTGTAGGGCAACAGTCTGACGTGCTGCAAGAAGCCAGCGTGCCCATCATCAGCACCAGTGTCTGCAACAGCCCCGACTACTATGGCAGCCAGATCAGGCCCAGGATGTTCTGCGCTGGCTTTGCTGCTGGCGGAACAGATGCCTGCCAGGTAGGCTGTGCTTGGCAGTGGGCAAGGGCAGGGCTGGGAAGGCAAGGGAATATAAGTTATTGAAGGTGGGCGAGGTATAGTGGGCTGCATTTAGAAAGAGAGAGCAAGGTGTGTGTTTGGCAGAGGTGGAGAACATTTGGTCATCCAGATTTGGCTGGTCTGCATCATTCATCATCCTTGACCATAAGCCATTCTGGCTGGAGCTGACGGGAATCCTGGGGGGTTGGGGTGGCACAGATTCCCTCATCTTTAGTGTTTAGTAGATTGTTTGCTGAACAGCAAAGCAGAGCAGGATGCATGGTGAATTTGTTCAGACACGAAGTGACCCAGGCAAAAAATATCATGGGGCTTGGGCCAACAACTCACATTTCTTCCCGACAAGGTTTAATCCCTTAAATTACCTTGGATGCTTTCCCTAATGTATGTGTGTGTGTTTTATGAGCAAGAGGTAAAGGACAACGAGCGTTGGTTCTGCCAGTTGGCTTCTCTGCCCGCTAGAATGGAGGGCAAAGGGCTTTTAAACCCCTTCTTCTCCCTGTGAAGAGCGACAGAGGCTCAGTCAGAATTTCTCCCCTTGTGTTCCCTAGCTGTTGAACTTTGGCCTGCACGGGATAACATGTTTGCTATGGGAATGTTTTCCTTGTGTTTTAAAAAACAAAAACCATAATGGCGGCCATTAGGGTTTCAGATTAGGCAGATAGTTGTTGTTCTCTTTGACATCTGGTGGGAGGGCGTTCCACAGGGCGGGCGCCACTTCAGAGAAGGCCCTCTGCCTGGCTCCCTATAACCTCACTTCTCGCAGTGAGGGAACTGCCAGAAGGCCTTCAGAGCTGGACCTCAGTGTCTGGGCTGGATAATGGAGGTGGAGACGCTCCTTAAGGTATACTGAGCCGAGGCCATTTTGGGCTTTAAAGGTCAGCACCAACACTTTGAATTGTGCTTGGAAACGTACTGGGAGCCAATGTAGGTCTTTCAGGACCGGTGTTACATGGTCTTGGCAGCCACTTCCAGTCACCAGTCTTGCCGCTGCATTCTGGATTAGTTGCAGTTTCCGGGTCACCTTCAAAGGGAGCCCCACGTAGAGCGCGTTGCAGTAGTAGTCCAAGCGGGAGATAACCAGAGCCTGGTGGAATGAGCAAGGGTTGTAATTCCTGCTTTCTTCTGCCTGGCAGGGCGACAGCGGCGGCCCCTTTGTGTGTGAGGATGGCATCTCTCGGACTTCCCGCTGGAGGCTCTGTGGCATTGTGAGCTGGGGCACTGGTTGCGCCCTGGCCAATAAACCAGGGGTCTACACAAAGGTCAATGACTTTCAAGGGTGGATCTATCGTGCCATGAAGGTAAAGGGCACCCGGGGCAGTTGGGTGAATCGGTTGCAGGAAAAGCAACGGGGAGAGGCTTGCGGCACCCTAAAAGTTAATGCAGCGGTTGGCAGCCTTTTGGGGCTGGTGCTTGTGCAATGGGAACGGAAGCACTCGGCTGACAGGCAGTGACTCCAAGCCTCCTTTCTGCAGGGATCAGTTGCACTAGTGAGTGGGAAGTCAGGTCATGCAGCCAGTTCAGCAAGATTGAAGGTGATGATTTTCGCTATGCCCTGCCTTAGGCAGGTGTCAGCTGTGAGTTTCTGATAGGTATCTCGGCAGCTTAGCCGATCCCAGAAGGCTGATCTCAATCAGCTGACTGCCTCCCTTGCCATTGCACAATTGGGGATGCGCTTTAAGGCTCCTGGTTGTGCCTGGGAAGCCCTGTCTACCTGCCAAACAACCAACATCATCATATATTTATATGCCACCTATTTGTCTGGGTTGCCTGCGCCACTCTGAGCAGGATTGAACAAATTATGCAACCATGGTAAAACATCAAACATTAAAAACTTCCCTATACAGGGCTGCCTTCAGATACAGTGGTGCCTCGCAAGACGAAATTAATCCGTTCCGCGAGTCTCTTCGTCTTGCGGTTTTTTCGTCTTGCGAAGCACGGCTATTAGCGGCTATTAACGGCTTAGCGGCTTTAAGAAAAAGGAAACAAACTCGCAAGAACTCACAAGACGTTTCGTCTTGCGAAGCAAGCCCATAGGGAAATTCGTCTTGCGGAATGACTCAAAAAACGGAAAACCCTTTCGTCTAGCGAGTTTTTCGTCTTGCGAGGCATTCGTCTTGCGGGGCACCACTGTATTTTCTAAAAGTCAGACAATTGTTTATTTCCTTGACATCTGATGGGAAGGCGTTCCACAGCGTGCCTGGTTCCCTGTAACTTCAGGGAAGAGCCAGTGTGGTGTAGTGGTTAAGAGTGGTAGACTCGTAATCTGGTGAACCAGGTTCGCGTCTCCACTCCACCACATGCAGCTGCTGGGTGACCTTGGGCTAGTCACACTTCTCTGAGGTCTCTCAGCCCCACTCACCTCACAGAGTGTTTGTTGTGGGGGAGGAAGGGAAAGGAGAATGTTAGCCGCTTTGAGACTCCTTCGGGTAGCGATAAAGCGGGATATCAAATAGAAACTCTTCTTCTTGCAATGAGGGAACTGCTAGAAGGCCCTTGGAGGTGGTCGTCAGTGTCTGGGCTGAACGATGCGAGTGGAGATGCTCCTTCAGGTATACAGGGCTGAAGCCGTTTAGGGCTTTAAAAGTTAGCATCAACACTTTGAACTGTGCTTGGAAACGTACTGGGATGTCACATAAAATGTCAAGTGTAGGGCAGGTTGGTGTGGTTCGAGGGGATATAGCCTTGTGGGCCAAACCGAGACCCACGCTGGGCCTGATTAGGCCGGTCGGAGGTTCCAAATCCCTGTGTTACAACATCCACTGGTTAACTGGTTTCCAATGTAAAAGATCTCAAGTGAGCACATAACCAGTGCATTGCTGTGGAAGGGCAAGGGAACACCTCTCCTGTCCTCCCAGCACATCTGTCTGTCTGAAGGCTCCAGAAAGATGCACAGCCTGCCTCTCCTTTTGTTTCCCCTCCTGCAGACTCACTCCCATGCCAGTGGAATGGTGATCCAGGACTGAAGCCCCGGAAGAGGGATGCTGAGCCGCCTCCGCCTCGCCAACCTCCCCCCCTTCCAGTGTGAGACTGCTGCTTTAAACAAAATGGGGGCGGGGGCAGAAATGACATTTTACAGAGAACAAACATTGTCCCATCCAACTGTGTGCTCTGGCATAGCCTTGTGGAATAGGGCAGGGGAGCCCTTCTACACTGTGCAGTCACAGCTCCTCGCTGGCCCTTTAAACATCTGCCAATACGATGCCTTTGCTTTGCCAGCCTTTCAAAGGGGTGCTTCTGGTTCTTTAATGGCCCATCTAGGAATGAGGGCCAGTCTTGCTTCCCAGGACACCTGCGACTGGCTAATCTGTGGTTGCTTTGGTGTGGCTCATTACCCAGATCACACGAACGTGAGACCCTATCACTTTAAAGTATTGAATTCTGGCAGGTCAAGAATTTCAAAAGCTAAGGCCCAGTCCTTGGAAGTTTTTCCCAGCTGTGAACAAGGGCAGAAGCTGCATTTAAAGGGAAACCCCCACAGCAACTTCTCACACTACCCCAGTATACACTCAGGATGGATGAAACCACCATGATTTCTGACTTGAAGCTGGGGTGTCCTGATTGTCCTGATTTCAAGGCTTGGTCTCCCCCTCCCAGTTCCACCCCAGCAGCGGATCCTGCCTCCCTGCCCCTTGCAACGTGGCAGCCAGCTACGAGCTTGGCAGTGCGGCTTGATGATGTCATTTCCCAGGATGCCGCTGGAAGCTGAGACACACACACACAGAGACAGAGAGGCGGAGCATGGTCTTAAAAGGGCTGTGGTGCAGATTGGAGCCAGCAGCAGTGGGGGAGAGTCGTGAGCTGCTAGCAGGGTGGGGAAGAGGTCAGTGGGAAAAGGAAGGCAGGCTTGGTGCCCGGGGCTAGGGTCCCGCCCAGTAACTTGCGAGGTGCCAGCAGTGCCTCTGAGCATGTACAGAATGCAGACAAGCATATTTTGACCCCTCCTCCCACTCCCCCCCCAGCCAGAAACACCTTGCATTCCTCAGATGAAAATGCCCTGATTTCCATCTGGGGAATATCGGAGGGTATGCCCCAAGCCTTGTTCTGTGGACCTTTGGCTCTCAGGTGATTTTGTCAGGTGATTTCTCTAGGTCATTGGTCTCCAAATGGTAGGTTGCACCCTAAGATGGGATTGGTTGTGCAAGTGATACCACCACCATTTTCGTATATTTTTTTAAAAAATTGTTCAGGGGTTTTAAAGAGCAAATGTCGTAAGACAGACTTGGAGAGCATATGTGTTGTGTTATACCATGAATAACAGAACTTACCACAGGGGAGACGGGGGAAACAGTTGAACCGACGACAGGAAGTCTTGAGGAGGAGATACTCCTTTACTGCAGTTTGCTAAGGGCAAATTTGGAACACAATAGAAGCAGACCCATGCAGAGGGGGTAGGGCGTTGGGTTCCCTTGCCCTGGGTCTCAGAGGGCTAAGCCAGCCAGTGCCACCCCCCTCCCCCTGCCAGGGACCGGCTGCTGTTTTATTTGAGTTTATGACTCAAGACTTCCGCCCCAGGCCTCAGACATGGGCCTGAGTAAAAGAGTTTACTTCCACTTACCTGAAGTTTGCAACCATTTTTAGGGAAACTGACAGGACCAATAGAAAGCGGGCCCACATTTTATATAGGGCAAAATATCAATATCTGACCCAAAGAGCCTCATTTGGAGTCCAGGGAGGATATTACTGAGGGTTGGATACCTTCCGCCAGTCTCCCGTTTCCCTTCTGGATGGGAAGATGTCAGGAAGGATTGACCAGCTGTTCTGTGCATTTTCCATCTGTCCTTTTAACAAAATTGAGTACCGTACATTTTGAGGAGGGCTTTATTAGGGTACTTTTAGCCCTCCAGTACAGACTTAAGAGTTATGTTTGTATCTTCCATTGAGGATCTGTTGCTGCCCCCACTCTAGCATTGTTCACAGGTGAAAATAGCCACCAATAATGTTGAATCTGATGGTTTTCCTCCATCACATGCACACTGTGGACTTGGAAAAAAGCCTAGCACAGATGTATGCACTGGGAAATTAAGAACTAGAAGCTGCTTCAGTTTCGTATTAGAAGTTCCATTAAGGATTATTTTGGGTCTGCACACAAGTGATACACCGGCCTTCCCAAATGTGATAACCTCCATAAGCTTTGGACTACATTTCCCACCATGCCTGACCCAATGGCCCTGGTGGCTGATGGGAGTTGTAGTCTAGTCCAATGCATCTGCAGAGCACCAGCTTGAGGAAAGCTGTTGGAATCAAAGGGTAACTTCTCACTTTCTTGACATTCCGATAAATGTACAAGCACCCAGCTGTTCGAAAGCAACTGTACAGCTTTAGCACAGCCATGCACACACTCACACTTATTGATTTGGTGGTAATTTGTAAGTTACTGGCTGGGCTGATCAGATACATTTGATGCCGTGATCAAAAAAGAAGAAGCTGAAATAAAAACATGTGGTTTGCCTGTCATAGAATCGTAGCAATGCAGAGTTAGATTGTCACCTAATTCAACTCTCTGCAATGCAGGAATCCTGTTCACTGCCATCTCTGGGTGGGCTTGAACCACCAACCTTCTGGTTGACAGCCAGATGCACTAACCCATTGCGTCACTGGAGCATATGAAGAAGCCCTGCTGGCTCAGGTCAAGGGCCAATCTTATCCAGCCTTTTTCTCTCTCACGGTGGGCACACAGCTGCCTGTGGGAAGCCCATGTGCAAGGCCTGAGGGCAATGGTGCTCTCCACACTTGTGATTCTCAGTAGCTGTTATTCAGAGGCGTGCTGCTGCCTTCAGCAGTGGAGGAGCACAGCCATTGTGGCCTTATCCTCCACAGAGTTGCCTACATACAGTAATAACCCATCTGGGGCCAGGAAGTATCCCAGAACAATCTTCTATTATGTCTTCTGATACTGTAAATAGATAACTATGTTGGGTCTCCTCTGTCTTTTGGGACCATGGATCAGTTCACTTAGCTTGTATATATTTGTGTAATTATGACAATTACAGTAAATAAAACCTGTTTTGATTATAGATGGCTCTTGGATTATCTTGCAGACTTTTTAGGATCCCCCTCCAAGGCCCAAACAAGGAGCCTCCTGACTTGCACATCTGTATTGTGTCCCTTGTTTTTGGGAGTGCAGAATGACGGCCACTATCCCCTCCCCCCCCCAGCAAAATACACCATTTTGAATACCTGGAAAATTCAATGCTGCTTTAATACCCTGGAAGGAAGGATGGGCAGCAAGTGTTAATTCACAGTTTGGGGTGTGTGTGGAGAGAATTCCCCATTCTGCACCAGAAAAACAAATCACAACTGAACACCATTGCATGGGATCAGGGCCGTAGCTAGGGGGTGGTGAGGTGGGCCCCTGCCTGCCAGGGGCACATGCAAGGGGGAGGGCGCAAAATCGGCTTAAAAATATGTCCATAAATAAAAATATTGGTTATTGCCTAATAAGGAAAGGTTTTAAATAGAGGGTGAATTGGAGGAGGGGGGTTGAGGAGAGGTGGAAAGAAGAGCTAATTTTTCCATGGATAAGGGGCGCAATCTGGACGGTTCTGTCAGGGGCACAAGATCACCCAGCTACGGCTCTGCATGGGATGCCAATAATCTGTTTGCTGATGGCAGGAGGTGGGCGGATAGATGATGGAGAAAGGTTTTGTCAGGCCCACACCTAGCTGAGAAGACGTACAGGCTAACACCAGGCCCCTGTCCCCTTGCAGAAGCAGCTGTCTTTAAAAGACTGCTTTGGGAGGTACTTTCCTTAAGGACTAGGCCCCACCAGGGCTATAGATCCCCTGCTTTTCACTGGTGCTGGAGAAGGGAGGGTTAAAAAGCCAGCCTGCCTGCCTGGGATGGCACAAAAGGGATGGACTGGGTGGCTCTGTGCCAGCACAGCTGTGCCCACCAGAGGACTTGCTGAAGCACCATTCCAGGTCAGAGACTGTGTTTGTGAGTGTTAAGCCAGAGAGACAGAACAGAGATTTAGCTAGCAGGGCCGGTTCACCCATGAAGTGATGTCATGTGCCCCCCCCCCGGGATCCATGGGGGACAGCAAATGTGGCCCCCACGGCTGCTGTGGTTGTTGCAGCTGCAGCCACTGTATCTCCAGCTGTTGCTGCTTTCCCACACTGGTGAGTATTGAAGTGTATATCGAATGAGAGAGGCACTACATACATCAGCAGGACAGTTTATGCAGTGGCCTTTGCAAACTATGATTGTCGGCGGCACAATTTTCTAATTCGTTTCAGGCGCCAAAATGTATTGGGCGAGCTTGGTTGATAGTACTCTATCCATCCTGCTGTTCCCCAGAGGCTCTTGAAAGCCTCAGTGTAGAGATCCCACCAGAACAGAACAAAACAAACAACAGAAAAACACCTCTTCAAGGTGGGTGGAGAAGAACATTCTCTCGATCAAATCCGAATACGTCGCTGGGGTGGAAAACAAGGAGGCAGATTGGCTCAGCTGGCAAACCATCTCAGAGGTGGAATGCAAACTCCACCCCTCGACTTCCACCAGATAGTGGAAGACTTCAGAGAACCAGTCGTGGTTCTGTTTGTCACCCCACTGAATACTCAGATAAACAGATTTGTGTCTCGCTTCCACTCACAAGAAATGCAGGGAATGAACATGGGAACAACCGATTGGCTACCGGGGATGCTATATGGTCCCCGCCTCACATTCAGCCTTCTGGCAAGGACATTACATTACATTACATTACATTACATTACATTACAAAACAAAACAAAACAAACAAAACAAAACAAACAAAACAAAACAAAACAAAACAAACAAAACAAAACAAAACAAAAATAGACTCTTCCCTGTCACTGGTCTGCAATGTCACATGACAAAAAGTCCTTGCTGGGCTTACCTGCAAAGCACAGGCTGCAGTGGAGCAATTTCAGTAAAAAGGTGACTTTTTTAGTTAAGGAAGATGTGACAAGTCTCTTACTGCTGATGTGCTACCATGCACAGCAGCTATAGTGTGGCAAATTAGTTTGTGCAACAAAGGGAGAAGCTTTCCTCCCTAGCTTGGTTGGGGAAAGGTGAGGATTAAAGGGTTGTTTTGGAGGTTGTAAAAGGTTAAAGTTCCCCAAGAGCCCAGTCCTTTAGGGCAGTGGCCTGATGAAATGGAGGGAGAAAGAAGAAAGGGACACCTAGGGTGGGAGTCTGGGAAACTGTCATCGAGAAGCACTCCAAGATAAAGAAAATATAGAAAAATAAGTTGCAGCCAAACAAATCCAATTCAATCCAAAGTAAAAGCAAGGAAATCCAGAAAGGAAAAAAAACAAGAGAGCTTCAGCACATGAGGACCTTCCTTTCCAGCTGGTAGGCAGTCAGTCTTGGATGTGGTGAATCCTTTCATGGGGTAATGTTGTGGGACTTCAATATCAATGCCAAGGCTTCCTCAAATGGACCAGCTGGGGACTTCATGGCCTCCATGACAACCATGGTGTTGTCTCAGTACTTCTGTGGTCTAATCAGAACTCCTCCTCATGCAAAAAGCTGGTTCTGGGTCATGAGCAGGTGTCTGGGAGGGATGAAACTCCTCTACCCACCCTCTCTGCCTGAAATTTGCAAAAGCAAAATATTGCGTAAAGCAGGTTATTAAAGTATCATGCTGTTTGATCCCAACAGATTTATCCAAAGTCTCCTTGATCAGCTACATCATGCATTGATAGCTCCCATTAGCAGCAGGGAGGGGTAAGAAATCAAATCCTTTTCTGATTTAAAGGTGAGCCTACAAAATTCACACTTTTCACAAATGGGCACTTTCCTGAATTTTGCAATGCAGTTCTGCAACCAATTAATGTAGACAAAAATGCCTTCACTAGGGTAAAGAGTGCATCTTGTGAGTCTTGTAGAACCTGCCTAGCAGTCAGGCCTCTTCCCCCTCACCTGGGAGGGTGGGGCCCTGACTGACCAAAGCTAGAAAAGACAGAGGCTGCTCAGCACCTTGAATACCATCTTGTCTGTGGGTCCTGACTGACTGACTGACTGACTGACTGACTGTAGCTTTGGAAGCTGAGCTGGCTGAATAGACCTTTGGGTTGGGGTATGCTGGTTTCGGTGTTGTTATCATGGCCCCAGCTATCTAAAGTTTTTAACTGCTTTAATTAATCTTAATTGTTTTAACTGGGTTTTAACTTGCATGCATTTAAGTACAGGTAGAATTCTATGGTACGCAGTGGCGGTGGATCTTTGGGGTCCATAAGGGTGGGAGATTGTGGATGCCCCAAAGAACCAAACGTGTGCTCTCTAGTGTACAAAAGCCCCGTTTTTTTGAACTTCTTATTTGGAAGTCCTGATGCAGATTCTAAGCCTGCCGTGTTGTAGCCAGACATAAAGTTAATGCATGTCTTTGCTGTCTTCTAAATTCTAATTCAAATGCCACAGTATGCGAGTAGGTTCATAAGCAGTTATGCATGTGTGTGTATGGAGCGGTGTGTGCCTTGCTTTAGACTGACTATGGTACTGCATTCTCTTCTTTGTTTAAAGCGATTTCCCTTCAATTGATGCATAGTAATCTAAGGCAGAGGGATGTGGGTGGCGCTGTGGGTAAAAGCCTCAGCGCCTAGGGCTTGCTGATCGAAAGGTCGGCGGTTTGAATCCCTGTGGCGGGGTGCGCTCCCGCTGCTCAGTCCCAGTGCCTGCCAACCTAGCAGTTCGAAAGCACCCCGGGGTGCAAGCAGATAAATAGGGACCGCTTACTGGCGGGAAGGTAAACGGCGTTTCCGTGTGCTGCGCTGGCTCGCCAGATGCAGCTTTGTCATGCTGGCCACGTGACCCGGAAGTGTCTCCGGACAGCGCTGGCCCCTGGCCTCTTAAGTGAGATGGGTGCACAACCCCAGAGTCTGTCAAGACTGGCCGTACGGGCAGGGGTACCTTTACCTTTACCTTTAATCTAAGGCAGGCACGTCCAACTCCCAAGAGACTGCTATCTACTTCCACCATAAAAAAAAACTGGCAGTGATCTACCCATTGAATTGACGAAAGTTGGAGGAAGACCCAAAGCTGTTGATGAGCTTTTTTTGGGAGCCAATGTTGAACATTTTGTGGGGAGCCGAACTTGCTGAGCTTCTTTGGGGGAGCCAAAAATTGATCGACCAGTAGATCGCAATTGACCAGTTGGACATGCCTGATCTAGAAGATGTGAATGGGGCCTATTTCCTAATGGAGGTGATGGAGATTTGAGTTAATTGTGCATCTAATTTGTGCCCATGAGCTTATTGAGATTTGAAAGGCTAATATGATATGTATTCAGAACTGAGTTCCTTGGATTTCCCCCCACCCAGCCTGGTGGCACCACTTGAACATCCATTCTTGACCCATTGCCACCTCCTGAACAATTCCCTTCCTCTTGCTTCCCAGCTTTCCCCAGAGTTGGGCTCTAAAACAGTTGCTACCTGAAAATTACGAAGGATGTGGCATTATAACTTTCTTTCTCTCATCTTCAGTTTTTCAGTGTCATCGATGGCTTTTTTCAAATACAAGGAAATCCTTTTTACTCCACTGGTCCACTCAGTGGAAACACTCAGCTATGTAGAAAACGAATTCCAACTGCTGGATGATGATACTGTGGTCGTAGCTTACCCCAAGTCAGGTCAGTTGTGCGATTAAGTAAATAGACTCTGGATTTAGTTGGCTTAGTGAGGTACCACTTTGGATGATAATATTTATTACATCACTAACTTTAAATATGAAGCTCACAAAGAATATCCCCTCCCCACGCTCTTTTGATACTTTACAACTGTGATGCTCCATGAAAGTCAGGATAAAGAAAAGTTATCTAAGATTAAGAAAAGAACAGGGGTGGGGTGGGGAATAATAAAAATACAGAACTATACATGACACATTTGTGCCTGGAAATTTCACTGCAAAAGATAATTGAACTTGAGCTTCAAAAAGAGAAATTTTCTAGCCAGATTTATCACTGCAGTGAGATTCAGCCACACATTAAACTCAGAGAGATATGTAGGTAGATCCCTCTTCACTCTAGATTAAGGTTACCAGATTTGAATAAAATTCAGTGGATTTTCTATGGGGACTGATTTGTAAATCCGGGGACTGTCCCCGGGAATGGGGATGTCTGGTAACCTTACTCTAGATGTCAAACTTTCCAGTTCTGAGGGTTTCCCCCCACTCTGTGTAGGCATCTACATGCCATGGAATGCAACTCTAAGCAACTAAACAAAACATGAAGGAGCATCTCCACCCCCATCATTCAGCCCGGACATTGAGGTCCAGCTCCAAGGGCTTTCTGATGGTTCCCGCACTGCAAGAAGCGAAGTTACAGGGAACCAGGCAGAGGGCCTTCTTGGCAGTGGCACCCACCCTGTGGAACACCCTCCCATCAGATGTCAAGGAGATAAATAACTACACAACTTTTAGAAGACATCTCTAGACCTGTATCGGAAGGTTTTTAATGCTTGTTTTCATTATATTTTTAGATAAAGCTGCCCAGAGTGGTTGGGGAAACTCAGCCAGATGGGTGAAGTATAAATAATAAAATGATGATGATGATGTGTGCGCACTTGTGCAAAAAGGACAGGTGTGTCGTAGCAGCTCATGCTTTGTACTCAAAAATCGCAGGCAGTTTTTCTTTAAAACAGCCCTGATTCCTAGGTAGCTACCTACGAAAATGGAGGTCACCATGACAAACTTGCATTCTTGGGATACCTTAACAATGAAGGCAGAAGAGGTCTGTGTCAAAGGGAACTGGAATGTTCAAACTTACTTACTAGAAATATACTTTTTTAAATTGTCCAAAATTATTTGTGGCTTTTTCAGAAAACATCACATAATCCCATTGATAATGGCTGGTAGTCTGGAAACAGCCTATCTTGTGCCCACCCCTCCTTCTCACAGTTATCTGGGCATCTGTTTCCACAACCAACTTAAATCAGCACCTGCCTTCCAGAACATCGCCCACCTTCTCCTCGCACAGTCGTTCTTAGTACAAAATTCTTTGGACTCCTGGCTGGAAACCAAAGGAGGGGAGAAGACTCTTCTGCTTACGTTCTGCTCCCTGGTTTCCCGCTTCTGGGAGAAACAGGATGCTGGACTCAATGGGCTATTGGTCTGATTCAGCAGGCTACTCTTCTGTTCTCATTTGCACCACACTCAGCAAAATAATATCATAAACTTCAGCATGTTATACCATTCCTGATTTTGGGGAATCTTGTTGCACTGGAAAGTGCTAAGTAGCTAGCTGTGGACAAAGATCCATTCCATTTCTTGTGATCCTCTAACTGATTTCACAAGGGCCAGACATTAACGCACAGAAGAAGACTGTGACTGGTGGACTTCCTCCTAGGTACCCATTGGATGGCGGAGATCTTGGCCCTAATCTTGAGTCATGGGGACCCTTCATGGGTTCAGAAGGTACCACTGTGGGAAAGGGCACCCTGGATTGAGATGGATGATCATTTGCAGATTGCCTTGAAAAATCCTTCCCCCAGGATCCTGAATACTCACCTGCCATTCCAGCTTTTCCCCAAGTCCTTCCTCCACTCCAAAGCCAAGGTAAGAGAGGAACAATGGACACATCAAGCTTGTCTTTGGCTCTTGTCTTTCTGACACACAGATGTGAGGGATTCTGGAACACTTGACACAGCCTCTTTACAGGAGGATGCCATAATTTGTACTAGAGCACAGAGAGAAATATTGGGAAGCTCCTTAGCAGTTGCCCGATTGTGGGAGAACTTGAATTGGTCATGGTCCACATGCATGGTAAGCCCAGGTCCTCACTGCAGGCTTCTCCTGTTTCCATGTCAGGCTTTATTATGTGATACTTTATGGGTTATATAAATCACAAATTAAAAGTATTTAAAGGGCAAAGCTTGAATTACAATGGGCTGCACATGATTGGCTAATTCCGGAATTCTACTGTAAGCCAATCAGGTTGTGGATTCACTCCTATCTGGAGCATGATTGGGTGGTTCCTGCTAACCAATCATATTGCTGCATTCTGAATCCTATTGTTCTAGGACCAATCAGACTGCTGCCTTTTGGAGCCTATTGTTCTAGGACCAATCAGACTGCTGCAGTTTTGGATCCTATTCAATTCAGTACATAACAGACCATATTTTAAAAAATGGCATGATTTTATTTATTTCTTTTTTTAAAAAAAGTTGTTATTATAGATTTTCTTGGTTTACAAAAGTACATGCATTGTTTCTTTTTTCAGGTTCTATAGTCTTTCTTACAAATCAGTTACAGATATTAGTGCTGAGTACTGTATAAGGTTGGGGAAGAAGAGAGGGGAGAGGAGGGGTGTTGTGGTGAGGCTTATATTTTTTGTATAGTGTACGTGTACAGTTTTGTGTCACCGTCAACTGGGAAGGTTCTCTTTTTATTCTTTTATTGCATTTCCTTGGTAGTGAGAGGTATGGGGGGGCAGGGTGGGGTTGGTTGTCTGTTGGTTGCTGCAGTGCGGTTTGTTTGCATTTGTGAGAGCAGGGGGAATGCTTGTTGGGTCAGGTAAACCAGAGTGATTCTTATGCTGTTGGTGGATTCTTGTTGTTATCTTGTTGGGCTGTGTATGTGATAAAGGGGAGCCACACTGGGGTGAAGGTGTCCTTTTCTATTGGTTCCTGTGTCAGTTTCAATTTATTGGTTAGCTTTTCTAGTAAGGCAGTTACAGTTTTTAGTGACACAGTATATTCTAGTTTTGAGGGATTTTGTTCCTGCATCTGTTTGCTAATAGTCTGGAGTCCTTCCCTCCATATTCGTAAAATGGTTGTTTTATCATTGATTTCTAGACAGTCAATTCCCCTTCTTTTTTGTTCCATGAGTTTAAGATGTTTTTGTTTTGTTTGTTTTTTTGCTCCTGTTTGTTTGTAGTGTGATGAGAGAGTCATAATGTCTTGTTCTAATTTACCAATTTATGCAGGCTCCTCTGGTGACTGCTTTCATTGTGTCCCAAAGGAGGGGGGTTGTTATTTTGCCCACATCATTGTCCTTAAAGAAGTTTTGGAGAGTTTTCAAGAGACTAATCCCCCTTTTGGAGGAGGAAAGCACTGTTTTTTGGGCTAAAATGTTAAAATGTTGAGCTTTATTTAGGGGAGCCAAGGTTGTTGAGCTTCTTTGGGGGTGATCTAACGGTAGATCTAACGGTGATCTACCACAGACGTCCAGTGATCTACCTGTTGGACGTGCCTGGAGTAGACCATTTGAAATTAATGGTCCTATGTTAGTTATGCCCGTTATTTTCAGCGGCTCCACTCTGAGTAGATGCCACACTGGATACATCCAGTAACAGTAAATTAAATAACAATTTGTTACCCTTTCATGGGACAGCTGCCACACTCTGCCTAATGTTAGGGCCGAGATGGCTGCTCTCCCTAAATGTGGCCCTGTCTCTGTTACAGATAGTCTGCACACTGCGTAACCCCAGAGATGTGATGGTTTCAACCTACTACTTCAGGAAAGGCCATAAAGATTGCAATGATCTAGAAACTGTGGAAGAGTTCATGGAGAGTTTCCTGAGTGGGGAAGGTATGGAATGAGGCAAATCAGCCAGTCTCCTTTGCTGTGGTCCAGCACAATGTCCTCTACCAGAAAGGTTCTCTTCTTAGGTAATGGAACAGGCTTGACAGAGAAGTATAATTTGCAGTTGGATACATGGAGAAGGGAAGAAATGGGTGAAAGTCCTACTTTAGTCATTTTCTTTTTAAGCAAATTAATAAACGTCCTTAACAAATGGGTAAGACTGGCACCAACATGAGAATAGAGTGGAAACTCACATTCAGTGTTGTGGATGATAACAGACATTCACTGGTGGCAGAGACAAAAACAAACTAACCTTAACAGAGAAAGCTGCATTCAAACCTTTACTTCTCCCCTGTGTGGATAATGTCACTACACAGATCAGTCACTAGGTGGCGCTGGACATACGCCAGAGTCAATGTTTTCTGTTACTTATTTTGTTTTTGAGGGACAATGCAGTCGTTCTAAGTCCCTGACAGGCCAACTTGAATAAACCCCACCTAGCTATTCTACGCTGCATCAACAGAAGTATAGTGCCCAGATCAAGAGAAGTCAAAGTCCCACTCTCCTCTGCCTTGGTCAGACCACATCTGGAATACTGTGTCCAGTTCTAGGCACCACAATTTAAGAAGGATATTGACAAGATGGGATGTGTGTAGAGGTTCTTGACCAGCATGATCAAGGGTCTGGAAACCAAACCTTATGAGGAACAGTTGAGGGAGTTGGGTATGTTTAGCCTTGGAAAGGGCCCCCAGCCCCCAGGAGCTGGCACCTATGCTGACTGGTGTTTTTTCTACGTCTACAATGGCATTCTCTCCCTTCCCAGTCAGAGCCAGTGTGGTGTAGTGGTTAAGAGCGGTAGTCTTGTAATCTGGTGAACTGGGTTCGCGTCTCCGCTCCTCCACATGCAGCTGCTGGGTGACCTTGGGCAAGTCACTCTTCTCTGAAGTTTCTCAGCCTCACTCACCTCACAGAGTGTTTGTTGTGGGGGAGGAAGGGAAAGGAAACTGTTAGCCGCTTTGAGACTCCTTAGGGTAGTGATAAAGCGGGATATCAAATCCAAACTCTTCTTCTTCCCCGCACAACTCTTTACATTTCACCATTGCTTCCTCTTTCCTCTTCCAGTGGGTTATGGTTCCTGGTTTGACCATGTGAAAGGCTGGGTGGAGATGAAGGAGAGAGCCAACATCTTCTTCATCACCTATGAAGAACTGCAGCAGGTACAGGTCCAAGCTTGCCTGTGTTCATGCACTACCAGGTTACGGGCCCAACTCTGACATTATTCATGCATGAAGTTGCCAATTTTTTGTTTGGAAAGATTCTGGTACTATTGGCCAGACTGAGGAAGTGCAAAACTCCTTGCTACCCCTACAAGGATTATGAAGAAAATAAGAATAGGAATAAGAATAATATTGTACCCATTCAAATGGGCGGCTTGCTTCAGCCACTCTGGGCAGCTGCCAGCATATATAAAGACAGAATAAAACATTAAACCTTAAAAAGCTTCCCCATACTGGGCTGCCTTCAGATGTCTTCTAAAGTTTACATAGTTACTCATCTCCTCAATATCTGATGGGAGGGTGTTCCACAGGGTGAGGCCACTACCAAGAAGGTCCTCTGCCTGGTACCCTGTAGTTTCACTTGTGTGCCAAGGCCCAGTGACTTGCAGTTCCCTAGTGGGTAATAAACACACGGACAAAAGTATTTAGGCTTATGGGTTCAAATAGGCCAAAACTTTATTGGTTACAGATGTGAGTGGTTTGGCTTAGGCACTGGGTGACGCTCAACTCCCGCCCACCTGCAGGGAGTCCATCTAAGGGCAAACCACCAATAGGAGGAGCCCTATGACTTACATCAAGTAGGGGCACCCCAAGGGGTCCCTGCTGGGGTCGTGGCATGGCCCTAGCCCATGTCCGGGCATCGGACAGGATCCACACCCCCGGATCCCTTTAACAGGATACCCTTAATGAGGAGGAGCAGGCGGAGGCTACAACTTCCCCTCCATCCAAACAAAGGCTTACCCAATGCCTAACCTCACAAAGTTGTGACGATTGCTACAAGGTAGGCAAAAACCAAATGGCTGGTGCCAATTCGCCAAGTGAAAAAAAACCCTACCCGACCCCAACAATATGGCAGCTGACATTTGTCCATAGCAAGGTCATGTCATAGCAAAGCATAAAAAAGAAGGCAGGTGGGTTGGGAGATCTGGCAAAGGACGAGAGAGGAGGGCCACCTGGCTGTGCCACAGATTAAATTTCCCATGGCCACACCCCCAACTGGCACTGATTGGACAGCTGGGCAACCCTGGACATGGCCCCACCCAATGCTGGTGACGCAGCCAGGACGGCACTAGGGGGTTGTCAATCTCTGCCCCCGCCAGATCAGTGCAGTGGTCAGTATGCCTGGCTACAAATCCGCCCACCGGAAAAGGTGAGTGGACTTCTCGCAGTGAGGGAACCTCCAGATGGCCCTGGGTGTTAGATCTCAGTGTCTGGGCTGAACAATGGGGGTGAAGGTGCTCCTTTGGGATTTAAAAGGATTTAAAGGCAAAGAGCCTCATATCATGCACAGAGTGCCCTTCCTTTCTTCTGCATTGGAGCAGGTATGCCAATTGGTTGTGTCATTTCAGGGATGTGAAAACTAAATTTTTGCAAATTTATTCAGTGAGGTGCCTTAAAAACAGGTTTTTGGGTGTGAGGATTTCAAATCTACTATTTTCGTGATTGGACAACATTTAGTTTGGTAAGACCACATAGGAATGAGGAAACACATAAATTGCTTTCAGAAAACCAAAGAATTTAATCTTCTGAAAATTTTAGGTAATGCAGTGATACCTCTGGTTGCAAATGGGATCTGTTCCGGAGGTCCGGCCGTATCCTGAAGTTTTTGCATCCGGAGGACTACTTCTGCGCACTCGCGCAGCGTGGTTTACAGCTTCTGCACATGTGCATGCGGCAAAAACCTGGAAATATACTTCCGGGTTTGCTGCTTACGTATCCCAATGTTTATGTAACTGGAGGGATACGTAAGGGGAAGTACAACTGTACTTTATCATAATCATAATAAAAAAATTGCAAGTATGCAACTTTTTAGATTCCAGCATCCCACTTTTGGGAAATTTAATTGCCTAAAAAACGTTACAACCTTTTTAGCAGCCCTCGTTTTTGGGAAAATGGAGATGCTGAAAACTTCAACACCCCTAGTATGACAATAAGCTGCTTTTCTGTCTGAATGCCAATGCCCTCTTGTGACTCTGATGCCTCCTGGGTGCTGTGATGACTGAAGGAGCAGCTGGAGACAAGGGGTTCTAGGCACAGTGATAGCAGTGAATCCACATCCTCATGGCATCTATCTTGCCCAAATCACATACCCCTCTGTGTGCCTCCTTGATCAAGGGCAAGCTCTCTACATCACATGAGGATTCACAGCCATTTGCTTTTGCTTTCTGCAGGACCTTCGAGGCAGCGTGCAGAAGATCTGTCATTTTCTTGGCAAGGAGCTGAAGCAGCCAACAGATGAGTCTGTGGTGGAAAACGCCTCTTTCCACAAGATGAAGGACAACAAGATGTCCAACTTTTCTTTAATACCACAGAGCATTTTTGACCAGACAAAAGCAAAGTTCATGAGGAAAGGTAAAAACATTGGAGTGCCAAGGAATAAGGCCACAATGCTGCATGCCAGGGGTGAAGAACCGTTTTCTTTTTCTGTGGATGTCTTTTGCCTCACAGAAAAAGCCAATCCCCAACTAGGCCAGAAAGTGGGGACAGTTTGCCTGATATCATACGGTTCTCTCTGTGCAACATCTCACCTATGTCTAGCTTTGTTGCATGGATGCCCCAATCAAAACAAGAGATGTTCTGAGAACAAGGGTATGCCTGTAAGATTTTGAGGCTTGGATAATTCTGGGGACTGCCTGATAGGTTGCAGATAGTGTTAAGTCGTGGGTTGACATAGCAGCCGGCACAGCGATTTCTTCAAGTAGCTCTTTATTCTGGTAAGCTGGAATAGAACTGACTGCGAACAGCTCAGCCGGCCTGTATTTATAGGCAGCCGGCTGTCAACATTGTAACCACAACAGCCCAGAGTTCCCGCCTAAAATAACTGGCGCGGACCTGAGTGAAAACTATCTACAGACCTGAGTGAAAACTATATACAGTATCCCCCTGTTGGCCCAGGGTGAAACTACACTACATAACACCCCTCCCCACCGAGATAAGGCGTTAGTTACAATCGTAATGGTTTCCTTATATACAGCACTACGCGTAATGGTTCAATTAGGCACAAAAGCATATCGGTTACATTTCCCATACTTAGACCAACAGTGATACCTGTCCAACAACATAGTCCTTTAAATGAGTTGGGCGCTTGGAAACTCTGCCAGACCGCCGGGGACTGGTAGCCAAGTCCGGAGGGCCACACAGTTCTCGCTGAGGCTGTGGTGCGACCCTAGGTGGCGTTGGAACCAACTCCCCTGGATCCGCTGCTGAGAGTGGAGCCTCCGCAAGTGGAGTGGTCTGAGTCTGTTCTGAAACGGCTTGGTTCGGCTCCACGCTGGCAGTTTGCGAGGGAGGTGTAGGTGGGGCCTCGCCATCTGTACGTGTCTCTTCTGGAGCCGCAAGCGCAGTTGGGGGCACCTCGGTAGTGTCCAAGTCCCCAACCCTGCGCCTAAGCTGGTCTATGTGCCGTCGCCACAAGCGTCCGTCTTCGAGTGCCACCTGGTACGAGCGAGGTCCAGTGACTCCCACTACTGTGGCTGGCACCCAAGGGATGTCCCCCACATAGTTCCGGGCAAAGACCTGGTTTCCCGGGACGAATGACCGTGGTGCGTTGGCACAGCCTGGGGGTTCAGCCACGGCAAAGTCTGGGTGTAGCCGGTCGAGCGGTGATCTGAGGCAGCGGCCCATAATCAGTTCCGCAGGACTCCTCCCTGTGGCCGCATGAGGGGTGATGTGTTGCGCGAACAAGTATTCGGCGACCCGCTCCTGCCAGTCTCCCCGGTCCAGGCGCGCCAGTGCCTCTTTTGTCGAGCGCACCATTCTTTCCGCTTGCCCGTTGCTGGATGGATGAAAGGGTGCCGTTAGGGCATGGCGGATGCCCAGTCCCAAAAGATACCGCTCAAACGTGCCTGACGTGAACTGCGGTCCGTTGTCAGAGACAAGGACATCAGGACACCCATGCGTTGCAAACAGGCCTCGCAGCACCCGGATGACAGCTTCGGTAGTGGTGGAGGGCATCAGGGCGACCTCCAGCCATTTGGAATAGGCGTCCACCACTACCATAAAGGTCCGGCCGTGAAAGGGGCCAGCCAGATCGATGTGCACCCTCGACCAGGGTGTCTTTGGCGTCTCCCAGGTGTGTCCCTTAGCTGCCGGTGGTGCAGGCCTCGACTCCTGGCACGCTTGACAGGCGGACACCCAGGCAGTGATGGCATCGTCCATATTAGGCCACCAGACGTAACACCGAGCCAACGCCTTCATTTTGACAATTCCCGGGTGGCCAACGTGCAGAGCCTCCAGGACGCGCTGACGGAGTCCCTGGGGAATCACGACGCGGTCTCCCCACAGCAGACAGCCGCGATGAGCTGAGAGTTCATGTTGTCTGGTTGCAAAGGGTTGGAACTCCGATGCAAAGGGCCCTTGTGGCCACCCCCTCCACACCCAGTTGAGCACCCGGCTGATGGTGCGATCCTGGGCAGATGCGGAGGCCACAGTGGCAGCCGATACAGGCGCTGCCGGAAGATCCTCAATCAGAAGGAGCGATGAAGCTGGAGCCGGGTCTTCCACAAATGCTGGAAGAGGGCAACGGCTGAGGGCGTCGGCATGGCCCATCGATTTCCCCGGGCGGTGGATGAGCCGGTAGTGGTAGGCAGCCAGGAAAACAGTCCATCGCAGCATGCGTGGTGAGAGGACCGGTGGAGTTGGACGATCACCGGCGAGGAGGCCCAGGAGTGGCTTGTGGTCAGTGATGAGGTCAAAAGTCCTGCCATAGAGGTATTCATGGAACCTCTTCACTCCAGCCACAAGTGCCAATGCCTCCTTGTCGAGCTGGCTGTAATTCCGTTCCGTCGGAGATAGTGTCCTGGAAAAGTAGGCGAGCGGTGCTTCTCTTCCATCTGGAAAACGGTGACTAAGGACAGCACCGATGCCAAAAGGTGAGGCGTCGCAGGCAAGGACCAGCGGCCTGGATTCACTGTACTGTACCAGCACACTGTCTGAAGAAAGGAGAGCCTTGACCGCGTTGAAGGCCGCCGTCTCCCGATGACCCCAGGCCCAAGGCGTCTTAGTGCTAAGGAGTCGGTGAAGAGGCTCAGCCACTGTGGCTTTGTGGGGCAGGAACATGTTATAAAAGTTCAGCAGCCCCAGGAACGCCTGCAACTCCGTTTTGTTCTTTGGAGTGGGGGCCTGCTGGATAGCGCGGATCTTGGATGTGGTTGGATGAAGACCGGAGGCATCAATAAGATAGCCCAGGAACTCTACCTGTGGAACGGCGATCTGGCACTTCTCCCTCTTTACCTTGAGCCCGGCCTCCTGGAACCTGGTCAGCACGGCACGGAGGCGCTCGAACAGCTGCTGGTGTGAGTCTGCAGACACCAAGACGTCATCAAAATATGGTACCACGCCCGGAAGCCCTTGCAGGAGACGCTCCATAAGGCTTTGGAAGATGCCAGGAGCCACACTCACCCCGAACTGCAACCGGCGGCAACGGAATGCCCCCCGGTGGGTGACGATCGTCTGGGCTTCAGCAGTGGCATCATCGACTGGCAGTTGTTGATAGGCTTGGGCAAGGTCCAGCTTAGCGAAGACCTTACCCTCACCCAGGGAATGCAGCAGGTGTTGGACAACAGGAACCGGATAAGCGTGCTGCTGAAGTGCCTTGTTGATCGTGCACTTGTAGTCAGCGCAGATTCTCACCGACCCATCTGGCTTGACAGGCGTGACGATGGGGGTTTCCCACTTTGCGTGGTCAACCGGCTCCAAAACTCCTTGGGCGATCAGTTTGTCCAGTTGTTCGTCCACCTTAGCCTTGAGAGCAAAGGGAACCCGGCGTGGCTTTAGCTTGATGGGGGCGACTTGTGGATCAAGGCTAAAGGAGATGGGCGTACCTGTATATTGGCCCAAGGTGCCGTCAAAAACCTCGGCAAAGTCTTTGACCAGACCCTCAGTCTCTGCGTTAGAGATGCAGTTGATGCCGGTGACTTCCAGGCCGAGGGCATCAAACCAGTCTAGCCCTAGGAGGCTTGGCCGCTGACCTTCGACCACCACCAACCGGAGCAGGCCCGAAAAATCCTTGAAGGCGATCCGGAACCGGCCAACGCCTACCACGGGAATGTCGTTTCCCTGGTAGTCTCTCAGGTGTACGCGGTGAGAGTCGAGTTGCCTTTTGGACACTCTGGGTACCAGTCTTTTGATGGTGCTCCATGACACGATGGACAGGGCAGACCCGGTGTCGATCTCCATGTCACATGGAGCTCCTTCAATGAGCACCGTGACGTTCAGCTTGCGTCGCGTAGGCGAGTCGGTTTGACCAATCGTGGTTCCAGACGGGCAGCGGCAGTTGGTGAGAGCGAAACAACTTTCCTTGGCAGACTGGAGTGAAGACTTGGACTTGCGAGTCGATGAAGGGGGGGTGTCAGACGGAGCCGATCGGCAGACCTTAGCGATGTGGCCCCTTCTGGAACACTTCCTACAGATGGCGTCTCTGAATCGACACTTGGCACGGGAATGGTTGCCTCCGCAGCCAGCACATTCCGGTTGGCCCTTGGACTTCTGTTGGAACTTCCTGCGCTCCCGCTTTGTCTGGTGCACGTCATCGTCTTCACTGGAGGATGCCTCATCACTGCTGGCCTCTTCATGATGCACCGGAACTGGCTCCCTAGCAAGACGCGGGCTGCTGGACTTGCGGATCTCCTGGGCGGAGCGTTCAGCAGCTTCTGAGGCCACAGCCTCCTCAATGGCTTTCTGTAGCGTGAGGTCTGGCTTGGCTAGGAGGCGCCGTTGCAGATGGATGTCCCGGACCCCGCAGACGATTCGATCCATCAGGGCATCGTCTAAGTCTCGGAACTCACAGTGCATTGCAGCCTGTCGCAGGACGGTGGTGTAGTTGTTGATTGACTCCCCCTCTGCCTGGTTCCGGTGGTAGAACGCATGGCGGGCAGCAATCTTGGACGGCTTTGGTGCGTAGTGGTTGCGGAGCTTCTCTTGGATCGTGTCCCATGGTGTTGCCTGGACTGCTTCAGGCACAACCAACGCTCGGGCCGTCTCAAACACCTCAGGCCCACAGAGGCTGAGGAATAGGCCCCGCTTCCGATCCTTTGATACTGCTATCAGCTCGTTGGCTTGGAGGTAGCAGTCGAACCGAGCGAGGTAGGAGTCCCATGATTCAGAGGCTGGCGCAAACGGCGGTAGAGGCACAAGTGAAGCCATGATTCCGATGCCGGCGTGAAGGGCGATGGATGGAACACAGTGCTCTAGCCAGAACAGTCAGCTCTGAATTGGTTCTGCCCAGTGATTTCGCTCAGTGATTTCGCTCTGTGATTCAGCTCAGTGATTCAGCTCAGTTCAGAGGCTGGCCGCATCTGGCTGTGCTCTGATGTCCATCCATCCCATCCTCATCGCCAGTGTTAAGTCGTGGGTTGACATAGCAGCCGGCACAGCGATTTCTTCAAGTAGCTCTTTATTCTGGTAAGCTGGAATAGAACTGACTGCGAACAGCTCAGCCGGCCTGTATTTATAGGCAGCCGGCTGTCAACATTGTAACCACAACAGCCCAGAGTTCCCGCCTAAAATAACTGGCGCGGACCTGAGTGAAAACTATCTACAGACCTGAGTGAAAACTATATACAGTATCCCCCTGTTGGCCCAGGGTGAAACTACACTACATAACATTAACTTTCTAAA